TCACATGGCCCTATGACTAGATACTTTCAAAAACACAGATAGTCCTTGATTTAGAAGCACATGATAACCTAAAAACTCAATTTGTAAATAACCTTTCTGAAACTCAAAGCACCTTTTCAGAGGAATAATGTTTTAAATCCGGATCAACAAACTTTTTCTACAAAGGTCCAGATAATAAGTATTTTCAGCTCTACAGGCCACAGTCTCTGTCACATGTTCTTCTCGTTTTTTTTGTGTGTTTGTTTTTATTTACAATCTTTTTAGAATGTAAAAACCAATCTTAACTCTTAAGCTATACAAAAACAGGGTGTGGGCCAAACTTGGCCTTAGGATTATAGCTTGCTGACCCTGTTCTAAATAGCAGTTAGGTGCCAAGCTTAGCTCTCAGAAGCAATGGGTTGCTAAGATACGAAAAGAGATACTGTCTTTTATTATTATTTTTTAAAAGATTTTATCCATTAACTTGTCAGAGAGAGAGCACACAGGGGTGTGCAGCAAGGCAGAGGTTGAAGCAGGCTCCCTGCTGAGCAAGGAGCCCCATGCGGGACTCCATCCCCAGACCCTGGGATCGTAACCTGAGCCAAAGGCGGATGCTTAACAGAATGAACCACCCAGGCTTCCCAAGATAATATACTTTAAATTGCTCTATAAACCATAACATCTCTACCAATGTGAAGAACTATTAGACAGTTCTTCAGTACTTAGCATGTGGGTAACTTTAAAACTGTTAATACTGAATAAAAAAGTTTTATGTATCTCAAATTGCATGAATTAGTGAAGAATCTGAATAGAATTCTCAAGAGAAAATCTACAAGGCAGCAGAGATAGATAACATCATGTTACATCCAATCCTACCTTTTTTGTCAACACAACATAAACACATCTTGATTCAAATTTGATTGGTTAGTGTGGTGTGCGTTCACTGGATAAGTAAGTGGCTCCTTCCATCAACAAAAGAGTAGACCACTGAATTTCTACCTCCTATGGACACTGAAAAGGCTTTTCTTATGCCTTTTCACAGACACATGCATTGACCTAGCCTTGAATCCTCTGCCAGCTGTACCTGCTGTAACCTACAAAGGCGGAGAAGAGGCAGAGAGTAGAATAGAGAGGATGCTGGAGAGTCATCTGGTGACTACCTGTATTAGGAGCCTTATTTTAACAATAACAGAAAATCCCGGTCTCATTTCATTGAGCTTTAACCCTTATGACTTGCCTCTTCTCTGTCACAGAGAATAACTTCATAACATGACTACACTTTTATCTTCTTATAAAAGAAATGCAGAGTTATTTTTGAAGCATCTGGGCTGAAACAGGAAACAAGGTCAAAAAGAAAGGCACTAAAGAGGATCACGTGTGAGAAAGGGGTTGACGGGCTGATTTTATACACAGGCAAAGAAGGCAGTTCGTGACATACATGCAATCTGAGAAGGGAAGGCCGGGTGGAGGGAAGATGTTGCCCTGGGCATGTGGCTTCATGTCAACAGGTCCTTAATGCAGCGGCATTCTGTGATATTTCCTTTAGCAAAGCATCCTATAACTTGCTAAAAGGGGTCCTTTCAAAAAAAAATTCTGTAATAAAAAAAGAAAACAGTGGCTATCCATACCTTGTATTTTAAGGACCCATTGGTTCCTCTGAGTCTTCTTGTCCAAGCAGGTGAGCCAGAGCACAGTGGCAAAAAAAGAGTGTCAATGATGACAGGTACAGTAAAAATATTACCTACATTTGTACACCACTGAAGAGTTTAGAAAATACTTTCCCAAGTACTATCCTCCTAACAACTCTGTAAGGTCAGGGATTTGGAGATGGGTGCGGTAACTTGCCCAGGGTCACACAGCTAGCAAAGGGCAGAGCAAAAAACAGCACTTGAAGTTTCTGAGGCCAAATTCAGTACTCTCCACATCTCCCACACTGCTTCGCAGGAGGTTCCACAGAGACCTGGTAGGAATAGGCATTTCTACTTGTATTCCTCGCCCTGTTCTGTATTTAGTGCTTGGACTCCCATGAACATCACTCTAAGTGTCCTGCACTTATTAAACACATGAAACTGCTGACCCTCAAATAAACCAGCATGGTTTGCTGAGCATTTGCATCTGCACAGGGGAGACCGCAGAGCCCAGATGGGATGGGAGCCAACTCTGGGACCGGACTCAGTGGGCTGAAATCCTCAGTGCACAGCTGACCAGCTGTGTGAGCTTCAGCATGTTACTTAACCTCTGATCAGTGTATGAAAAGCATATAAGCCCGGTGCCAAGGACGTAACAGAAGTTCAGTAACTGATACAGATTTCACTCTTGCTGAGTCTTCACCTACCTTCTTTGGGACCAAAAGAAAAACTACCAACAAGAGGCTGATTGGTATCTTCAACTCCACTCTCTTCTTTCCAAAGAAAAAAGTCACAAATACATGAACAGAGGGAATGCCTTGTATATACATGTTCATGGGTTTGGCTAATGAGTCTATCTGGTTGTGCACAGCCTCCACATGCTAAAATAATCCATCCTAGCCCTTAAGCCAAGCTACAATTTAAAAATTTAATAAATGGCACTCATCCTCTAATCTCTCCCTATACATGATTGACAAGCATCAGTGGAAGCATCTTGTGGAAGTTACTGTTCTGGAAAGCTGGGGTAAGTGGGCTGAAAGCCAAAATTACCCAAATAGCTTGAACTCCTGGAATTTATTTCCCAGCTAGTGAAAATAATCAGTTATCAAGGGCTCCCCCTACTGGCACCAAAAAGCAAAGGCTAAAATTCAGATAACATTTATGCAACGTACAGAGTATTGTGTCTCTTTCTTCTTCTGGACAAGTTCCCGCAACAAAAAGGAATATAAGACTTAGTTCAAACTATTTCTCTTTCTGAGGGATGGAAGTTCATGACTTAAGGATCCAAATTTCCTCATAACTAAAAATACATGCATAGAGAGAAAAGCTCACACAGGGGATTCAAAAACTGGGGATGGGAGAGACTTAACATCATGCTGAATGGGAAAGAGCTGAAGGAAATGGGGGTGGCTCAGCGGAGAGACAGGGACCAAAGGGTACGTAGCAGGAATGATATCTGACAGGCTAGCATGGAAGCAAGATAAGCCTTATGCTACGCAGCCCCACTAGAGGGCGGAGTCATCAGAGAACAGATTTTACCTTACAGAAAGGAAGAACAATTAATAATGAGCACTATCATACATAAGGAACTACAAAGGGCAGGTGTGAAGGATCATCGCTGACTGGTGAGCGGGCAGAGAACTAAAATGGATTATACTTAGGATTTTAGTTCTAAAATCCTGAGAATGTATGTTAAAATTCCAAACAACTGAACAGTCCTGTTAAGGCTGGTTGGTGTCATCCTCAGACTTTTTTTCAATATTAAGTTGAAATTGAAATTTTCCAATATTAAATTGAAACATACTGTGCTTCAAGCCCTGATTTAGTCTCAAAATAATTTTAAGAGAAAAGACGTCAAAATCAAAATAAAGGGTAGATCATGCCAATGTCAACTTCCTAGTTCTAACGTTATACTACAGTTTATGTAAGTTACCATAGGAAGAAGCTAGGTGAAGTGTACCCACGGCCTCTACATTATTTTTGCAACTTCCTGTGGATCTATAATTACCTCAAAATAAAGAGCTTATGCAAATCAAATTAAAGATATTTCCCTACGAAGCACCTGGGTGACTCAGTTGGTTAAGTGTCTGCCTTTGGCTCAGGTCATTATCCTGGGGTTCTGGGATCCAGCCCCACATTGGGCTCCCTGCTCAGTGGGGAGCCTACTTCTCCCTCTCCCTCTGCCTCTGCCACTCCCACTGGTGTGCTTTCTCGCTCTCTCTGTCAAATAAAGAAATAAATAAATCTTTAAAAAAAAAGATATTTCCCCAAGAGGTTCTAAGTAACCTCAAAGACAATCGAGTTCCGTTCAAGAGTGCAGTGTCATGAGCCACCAATGACTCTGTGCAAGTACCCACAGGCAGCAGGGCTCATTTCAAAACCATGATCAATCAGCTATTAAGATTTACAGTTGTGATTAGGAAAGCCTGTCATGCTGACAGGTGTCTAATTTGGTTACGCTGATCATAAATCTTCAGCTATCTCAGATCGCAACATCAAAATCACCTATAGGCAATACATTCTTACAACCGCTGCCTACGTTGTACTACAAAGGAACCACATACAGACTTCATTACTATACTTTATCTAACTATAACACAGTAACATGCTCATATCTTCCTCCTCCCCAACTATGACTTACAACAAGAACTACAACCTGTTTTTATCTGACTTTATCACCAAAACCTAACCCATTAATAGTTTTTTAGTAAATACTCATAAAACAAGTAAGAAATAAACCAGTAATTAAGTTATTTTCTTCAACTTCTGGGACTTTCTTTGACTTTCTTTTCTGATACAAAGACACCCAAAGAAACATCAGAGTCCCTACTTTGGAATCAGGATTAAGTATATGTATACATATACATACAAATGTGTTTATGACAAAGTCTACAAAACACAGGTGTTTAATTTCTAAAGACCTTTAGAACCACTTGTTTTTGATCTGCTAGTTTCCTAAGACATTATTAACTCAGCTTGATTTTTTTTTTTAAGATTTTATTTATTTGACAGAGAGAGAGAGAGAGCACAAGCAGGGGGACCAGCAGGCGGAGGAAGAGAGAGAACAGGTTCCCTGCTGAGCAGGGAGCCCGAAATGGGGCTCAATCCCAGGACTCTGGGATCATGACCTGAGCTGAAAGCAGATGCTTAACCTACTGAGCCACCCAGGCACCCCAATTCAGTATGATTTATAATGAAAGAGAGAGGTCAAGCTTTTCCAGATAGGAAAACCAATATGAACTGTTGAACAGATCCCCTGAGCTTTTAAGTTCCTCCTAGAATGATCTCTGCCTAGTTTTACCAAGTGCCAAAAACATTCAGCCTCTTTCAGAAATTACTGCGATATCATCACCTTTGGATTCTTCAATATTAACCAAATGAAAAGCAGATGGAAATTTCTCTAACTTTTATCTGTTTATTAAAAATCTTTTTCAAATAAATACTTTGAACAACCATTAACAATCAAAGCAGTGAGATCACTGAGTGTTGCTTCTTTCTGCCAAGAAGGCATACCATTAGCTTGTATAGTTAATGCAACAGCCACATCCAAAGTCAATTAGGCTGTTTTAAACACATGACGGACACTACTTATGATCCCAGAGACACCAAGGACTCCTCGGGGTCAGTCATCTGAATAGGCTCTGAAGCTGGCTTGATCCTTAGAACCTCTGCAAAGCCATCACCAAACCAGCAAGTGACATGTGCTATGTCTACGGTAAAGTAGAAAAGGCGGTCCTGGCAGAGCTTCCGTCGATACACAGACCGCGGGTCGGCTGACAGCACAGCCTCAATGGCATGCCTTGCTTCCTCTGCTGATTGAAAATACTTAAATGAAGGCTGACTGCCATCTGCAATGAGAAGAATACAACTTAATGCTGGTCAAATTTCAGTACAGTCAACTTCAATGTGGAGTATCACACTGAATACACTATCACTTGAAATGAACTGGGTTTGGCAATCTACTCAGTTCTTACAGAGAATGTTGCTTTCAAGTAGTTTCATTAGATTAAACTTACACGTGCCCCAAATTTTCATTCGCTGAACAAAACCTTCTATGTTCAATGTCGACTCTGATTTGATTCCTTGTCATTCCGTTTCTTCTCAGAATGGAGGCATGGTCAGGGAAATGCATGACAGTCCCAGCACTCTCAGAAAGCCACAAGAAAGAAGACTAAACCCACCTATACCCAGAGCACCAGCCATAAGCAAGGGATAGTGTCTCAGAGAGCTGGTGTCACAAGCCCTAGTTAAAGTAACACCACATTCCCTAAGGAACGAGGACTTGGGAGAGTCCTGAACAAAGTAGTATAGATACTCTGAGAAAGTTAAATACCATCACTAGAGAACAAGCCACCCCAAACAACCAAGGTGAGGATGTACAGTAAAAAGATGTACACCCTGTTAAGTGGCAAAACTTCCTACATCTGTGTCATCATGGATGTTTTTTAATTTTTAAAAATACAGTATGAACAAAACTTAAATAAAAAATTAACTGTGACTTAATTTTTAATAGCTACAACATAACATACATCCAAGTAAAGGCCAGGCCCTTCCAGGAAGGCATGTGCTTTAAACAATGTTGTTCCTGTTCAAAATACCATCTGGAGTGGTGGTGGATCTTTATTCTTCTGAAAGTAAATTCAGTTTTTAGAAAACAGCCAAAATCACTTGGGTAGTAAGTTTGTAAATAAAGTCATGAAGTTCGATCTTTGGTCAAAAACCAAGGACCAATTCAATTGCTGATCATGTGGAATCCTTAAAAAAAAAAAAAAAAATCCCATCAAGGACCAATTATGCAGTGCTGAGATTCCTTTACTGCATGGCTCATGAAATGACTCCAAGGCCACCAAAAAAGAGGAATTCCAGAAACATCACACTCTTCAGTAACAGTGTACCTGGTAAAAGCTTGAGGACTTTGCACAGTTGCTCATTTGGCACAGGTGCCCTGCCAACACTTCTCTGCCTACTTACTCTTCCAGGCTCAGCTCAAATACTTTTTCCTCCAGGAAGTACTCCCAAATTTTTTCCCTGTTCCCCAAGTCATAATCCTTTTCCCGTCATGTGCCCATAAGCACTCCATTCCAGCGCCAATCCCCCCACTCCTACCACCAACACACGGCCACCATTTCAGTATCTTTTATCTTTTCTAGACTCTAAAGCTTCTGACAGGGTCATTTCTTATTTCTGTATTAACTCCAAATTCTGCTGGTCCAAATCAGTCCCTGTTTCATAGTTACATTTCATAATTTCTCTTTTTAGTGCTTTTTCAAATCAACAAGGCACATTATAACCTCTCAGACACCTAGCACTATAGTTTGAAAAAGATAAAACTTTCCAGAGTAAGAAGCAATCACTGCTAACTGCAGACGAAAGGGTAAGTAGAAATATAAAGTATCTTCTGAGCAACACTGCTTTCTTTGTTCTTTCACAAAATCCCTTTAAAACTGACCTTCCTCAACTGTATACAATGAGGAAACAACTTTCATAAACAAAACTTTTTAAAATAAAGAGCTCAATTTAAAAATCAGACGCTTTGTTTAAACATAAAGCCTTTGGAAAGAATAAGAAACACACCGTGGAGCGGCACATGAAATCAGACATGTCCTTGGCAACTAACTGGCTGTTCTTACTGGGCTCGCTGCAGCCACCTTCCTTCTAGACTGCTGCCTCACATCTGCTATGGGCTGGGCAACCAGGGGACAGCATCTGTTACAAACTGTGTGTTAAAGTAAACGAGTCCAAGTAATAGCCCTGTGGCCTCTCTTCTACAGTAAAGGGCACGTCTCCAGTGCTGGGACTTTTTACAGGGACAATTACTGTGCTAAGAGACTTCCCTTCTACCCCTAGGCTCCGTGCCACAGGGAGAGCTATCAGCCGCCTGACAGAATAAGGTGGGATATTTCTCTAGTCAGATAGTAAAACATGAAAAAAGTTAATCCAAGTATAGAATGAGCACAATTTAGCTTCTGAACGCTGTTTGAAAACTCCAGGAACTACTGTAACGGACTGACAAGAGGCCCTAAATCATGTGCCACCTCATGAGGCAGGAGCCTCCTCAGCAAACACTTCACTGAGTGTCTGGGACTCACTGTGCTGAAGAAGGCTCGTCGTCAGATGGTGCTGTTGCCCAAACAGAATTTTATACTCCTACAGTTCGTATAACCAGTCATACTGACAAATCCTCTACATAACTGCCCTCAGAAATACCAAATTGGGCTAAAGCTCTCATTCCAAACTGAGAGACAGAGGGTACCTGGCTCACCTTCTGAACTAAGGTGCTCGAGGTCCGTCTCTGCGTGAGGAGTGAAGCGGACTTCCAAGGGGGTCACGGGGGCCTCTCTAACCCAGTCAGGGACTGCGCTGCGGTGGGCTGCACCAGCCATCCTGGAAGGACAGTGAAGAACCACCGGCTGCATCTCCGCACTGTTTCCTTGTGCGACCACTGCTTCCTTCCCTCTCTTTAGCCTCTTTTCTGTACCTTCCTCTGAAAAGCTCTTCCCCGGGCAATTTGAGCCAATTTGTTCTTCTGCCACACTCAGACTCTGATCACTTCTTGATTCTACACCCAAATCTTCTGCTATCTCCCTGGGCTGAGGGGAGTTTTGCTGGACTTTTGTTGAGTTATCACGTTTCATGTAGTTTGCTCCTGAAGTGCCATCTTCATGACATTTAGGTTTTTCCTTAGTGTGACTACAGGCTTGTGGTTTATCACACCTTGAGAGCTGTCGCTGGTCACAGTGGTCCGTCTTGCCATCAGACTGGGATGTGTTTTGGGATTTATATTGGTTATTCTGTAAACTAAAGTCCTGTAGAGGCTCAATCAAATTTTGTGGCGAGTCATACTCAGCTATGTAGGGCTTTATGTCTAGTACAGGTGTGCCATGAATCATGTCAATTCCAGAAAGGTATATAGCTCCACCTATAATGTGAAAAACACATCCTCTTAGAAATCGTAACAATGAAGAACAGTGCAAACAATTAAGAACCAACATCATCTGCTTATGCCTCACCAAGCTCACTCACAATTCTCTTACACACCAGGTTTTCTTATACCTGGTGCCAACACACCCTTTTCATTCTGCCTGGAAACCCATCCTCTTCTTCACCTGTCAAACTCCCACATGCTCTTTAGGGCTCCTCTATGAAACCTCACCTACAGAGCCTTTCTGGCTCTTCCACACATAAGCACTCTTTCCTCTGTGTTCCACAGAGAAACCTATGTAAAAACCTCTACTACACCTCTTTTCATATGGTCTGGCAATGACCTAGTCAGTCTCTCTCCCTAGACAGTGTGGTTAGGCCCTTGAGCACTGACTCATTTTTGCATCACTGGGGCTTCTAACTCTGTTCCAGGCATAGCAGAGTCTTCAGTATATCTCTCTGGGATCAATGAGGATTTCCACTGTGGCAAATATACACGAAAGTGGCCCCCAGAATGCCCACCTCCTGGTGTTCACACCCTTGGATAATCCCCATCTTTTGAGTGTGACTTGGTATCACTCCAATGACTGTGTTACATTATCTAAGACTCCTGTGCCTGCAGGCAGATTCACTAGAGATATTCTCCTGGTGGGCTATGAAGTAAGCAACCACCCTGAGAAAGCCCATGTGGCAAGGCACTGCAGAAGCCTTTAGGAGCTGAGGGCAGCCACCAGGCAACAACCAGCAAGCAACTGTGGCTCTCAGTTCCACAACTACAAGGAAGTGAATTCTGCCAACAACATGGGTGAGCCTGGAAGCAAATTCTTCCCCAGTTGAGCCTCCACATAAGAACTCACCTAGATCACACCTTATTTGCAGCCTGGTAAGATCCTAAGCAGAGGACTGGCTTAGCTGTTCCCATATTTCTAAACTAATTATTATGAAACATAGTAATATTTCAAAGAGATAATAAATGTGTGTTGTTTAAACTGACTAAGTAGGGGCGTCTGGGTGGCTCAGCTGGATAAGTGTCTGCCTTTGGGCTCAGGTCATGATCCCAAGGTCCTGGGATCAAGCCCGGTATCAGGCTCCCTGCTCAGTGGGGAGTCTGGTTCTCCCACTCCTTTTGCCCCTCCCCTCCACTCATGCTCTCTTTCTCTATCTCTCTCAAATAAATAAAATCTTTAAAGAAATTAAAAAAAAAACAATAAAGTGTATGGCAATTTGTTACACAGCAATGGAAATCAACACATCCATCAAGACTCAAACACTTAAACAGAACAGAGGTCACCACTGCCAAATATTAACAGGTCTTTTGTCTCACTTATACAGCTGCATGTCCAGTGCCTGCCACTGGTGCAGATTCTACTAACTTGATTCTTGGGAAATTGGCCAAATGAGAATCAAAAAATTGCATGTGATCACATTCCATTCTGTCTCCATTTAAGAAAAACAAGACTAACAGAGGACTGATTTCTAAAACATGCTCACTACGAATGAGCCTGGAACTTTGGAATAATGACTTTGGACTTCCTAACTAACGGATATGCCCAACAATGTCTGCAGAAGGAAGAAAGCATTGTAGTATACATAAAAGTTCATGGGATTTAGACTTACACAACCACGTGGCTGGATGCTATTAGGCGTATTATCAAACATCAAAGAGCCTCAGCTTCCTCATCCATAGAAGGAGGATTGCTACCCTATCAAACCCAAACAGCCACAGAGAGATTACGCACAGCAACACGCTTTATAAACTGTAAAGCACCACGCAAACACTAGTAGTCACCATAACACTTACTTGTAAGAATGTATACAGTGTTACTGCGTTTGCCTTTTACATTCTAATTTGAGCTCCCCCATGAGAATTTTAAGTTCTTCAATGCAGGGATTTTGTGTGTGTGTGTGTGTAAATTTTTATTTTTATCTATTTCTTTTGGTGACACACAATATTTTAATAATGAGAACTGCAAGTGATGACATCATAACAGGATATAGTAAAACCTGAAAAAATACAGAGCGCTTCACGAATTTGTGTGTCATCCTTGTGCAGGGGCCAATTTTAGCATATGTGCTGCTGAAGCAAGCACAATGCATGGATTTTTATCTAATTTGTTTACCACTATACCCTCAGCACCTAGAACAATGCCTGGCATATACACAGTGCTCTGATAATAAAATGTTTAGTACTATTACTCAAGCTGGTTGGCTATCACAAATTGACAAAGCTCAAGTTGGACTGGTTTCAGAAATTTCGTGGAAAACCTATCCAAGGCTGGGCTGAATACAACCCAGGGGATGGAGTTCAAGTTCTGGAAAAAAACAAACAAAATAACTGATCTTACCTATTTAACACTAAGTAGCCTGAAAAGTACTTACAGCTTTTGTCTCATAAGATGCTAAAAAAAAAAAAAAAAAAAAAAAAATACTATGTAGTCCCAGAGAGGGCAGGTCCTACTCCTTCACCCGCTTTACAAACCAGGAAGCTAAAGCCTAGAATGGTCTCCTGACCTCCAGTCTTCTGCCTCTCCAACAAATGTGCTTATTGTTAGTCAGAGTGATTCAAGAACGGGATGCTTTACTAACAAACAAAACAAACAAACCAAAACTCAAAGATACAGAGAACAGATCACTGGTGGCCAGAGGGAACAGAGTAGGGAGATAAATGAAATGGGTCAAAAGGATCAGGAGATACAAACTCCCAATGATACAATAAGTAAGTCTTGGGGATGTCATGTACAGCACAGTCAGTAATATTGTATCGTATATTTGAAAGTTGTTGAGAGTAGATCTTCAAAGTTCACACCGTAAGAAAAAATATTTTAAACTATATGGTGACAAATAATATCTAGACTTATTGCGGTGATGATTTCACAATGTATATAAATACTGAACCATATTGTACACTTGACACTAATATGTCAATTATACTTCAAAAAAAAAAAAAAAACCACGGATGCTTCCAAAAAATGTATGGCCCAGTAACTAGGCTATATCTGAATACACAGTTAAAATGAACCTGGTATTCTACACAGGTACTTCCACAATCTGACAGGTGTATAAATGTTATTATACTGCAATTCATAGCAGACCCTCTGCCACACGTCAGAGTTAACAGGTGTACTACAACCACAGCACATGTTCATCTCCTCAAAGTGCTAGGAAGAAATAATACACCACCACCCTACATGTTTACCATATCTACACATACAAGCAGTTATTCTCTGTTAATTCTGAAAGTGTCCAATTATTGTTGAATAATTTTGTATTTACTGTATTCTAAGTCAGAGAAAATTTGGTTACTAATTTAATTATTTTTTAATAACGTAATAGTTTCTAATATATGGGATGATATAATTAAACTCTGAGCATCCTATAAGAGCTGATTTCAAAGGGTAACATTCTTTTTTAGTCATTTCTTCTTCCATGCCTGGTAATCCCCAGGGGTTAACACCACTGGTACTCCTCCGAGTAACAGCCAGTTAATACTAAGTTTGTTTTATAAGACTTCTTTTAGATAAGGAAAAAAGATAAAAGTAGAAATGAAATTTGTTACCTTCTACCTTTTCCAGTTTGGCCAGGGTCAGTCCTATTGCATTGGGACGATGTGGGCTCCTTGTGGAGAAAACTCCAGTCTTTATTCCATTCAGCCTAGGAGGCTGCACTTTTGCCTTACAGCTCAAATGACCATTTTTGTGAAAAACAAACAAAATCCTATTGAAAATAAACCAAACCACCAAGTAAGGAAAGAATACTAATTAATTTATCATAATAATTTTATGGGGAAAAAAAACTTTAATCTTTAATCCCACAAGTTAAAGCTGAAAGAATGCTTTTTAACGGTACTAAAATGTAATCAGTGGGGAAAAAAATAATGCCATTCTCATTCCTTGAAGGATGGCAGCGTCTTATCTCTATATCCTAACAAAATTACTGGTACGTTGCAGGAACTTTTACAAGTATTTTTCAAGTGCCTGAATAAGCAATATTTACGAAGTAAGAGCCTGCTATTTGCCAGGCAGTCTGCTACACATTTTTATACTTATTTAACTCTCTTAACAAGCCCAGGACTTGTAATTTATCCTCAAGAATGAGGCAATCCAGGTTCAGAAATGTTAAATAACTTCACTGGGTCTTCCTAAATAAAACAGAAAAGCAGGAAGCCATAAAGAGAAACAATAACAGATTCAAACTCATTAAATCATTAAATTTATGACTATAAAATGTAATCCCAGGAGAAAATGTTTGCTACATGTACAATAGATAATGGGTTAATATCTGTGGTATATAAACTGTTCCTACAAATCACAAAGGGGAACTCATTATAAGAAATTAAGCAAAGACAGGGTGCCTGGGTGGCTCAGTTGTTGGGCATCTACCTTCCGTTCAGGTTATGATCCCAGAGTCCTGGGATTGAGTCCCACATTGGACTCCCTGCTCGGTGGAGAGCCTGCTTCTCCTTCTCCCACTCCCCCTGCTTGTGTTCCTTCTCTCACTATGTCACTCTCTGTCAAATAAATAAATAAAATCTTTAAAAAAAAAAAAAAGAAAGAAAGAAAAAAGAAAAAGGGGCGCCTGGGTGGCTCAGTGTGTTAAGCCTCCATCTTCAGCTCAGGTCATGATCTCAGGGTCCTGGGATCGAGTCCCAAATCAGGCTCTCTGCTTAGCAGGGAGCCTGCTTCCCCCTCTCTCTCTGCCTGCCTCTCTGCCTACTTGTGATTTCTGTCAAATAAATAAATAAAATATTTAAAAAAGAAAAAAAAGAAATTAAGCAAAGAACATGAATTGACAAAAGAGTAAGAAATAACAGCAACCAAATGAAAAGATGTTGAACCTCACTAATAATTAAGATATTTAACTGAAAAATAAAATATTGTTTTTCTCAGGTCACCTGGATGGCTTAGTCGGTTGAGCATCTGACTCTTGATTTCAGCTCAGGTCATGATCTCAGGGTGGTGAGATCAGTCCCCGCTTAGGATTCTCTCCTTCTGCCCCTCTACCCATGCGTGTGCATGCTCACTCTCTCTCTCAAATAATAAACAAAATCTTTAAAAAAAATCTTGGTTTTGGGGCACCTGGGTGGCTCAGTGGGTTGGGCCTCTGCCTTCGGCTCAGGTCATGATCTCAGGGTCCTGGGATCAAGCCCCACACCGGGCTCTCCGCTCAGCGGGGAACCTGCTTCCCCCTCTCTCTCTGCCTACCTCTCTGCCTACTTGTGATCTCTCTCTCTCTGTGTGTGTGTGTCAAGTAAATAAATAAAATCTTTGGAAAAAAAAAAAAATCTTGTTTTTCCCTGTCTGACAAAATGCAGAAAAACTGGAACATAGACAGTGTTAGCAAGAATGTAAGGAAAAGGTCATTTTCATACACTTACGATACACAAATTAAGCTTTTTAGAGCAGTTTGGCAGTAGCCCTCCAAAATTATAAATATGCACACCCTCTAGCTCAATATAACCATTTCTGATATTTATGTGTGAAAATGTACATGTGCCAAGATCTGTGTCTAAGAAGGTTTGCTACAGCATTACTATAATAGTAAAATAACTATCCATTAACAAAAGAGTGGTCAAATCATGTCATATCTATATTTTGCAGTAAGAGACAGCCATTAAAGCAAAAAGAAGAAATCTGTATGCATTGTCATGATATACACTGTTAAATGAAGAAAACATATTCCATTGTTTAAAACAAACACCTACCCTGGTGTGTATGTTTATGCTTCTATATCTACTAAAAAAGAAAAAGTGGGGCGCCTGGGTGGCTCAGTGGGTTAAAGCCTCTGCCTTCGGCTCAGGTCATGATCCCGGGGTCCTGGGATCGAGCCCCACATCGGGCTCTCTGCTCAGCAGGGAGTCTGCTTCCCTTCCTCTCTCTGCCTGCCCCTCTGCCTACCTGTGATCTCTGTCTGTCAAATAAATAAATAAAATCTTTGAAAAAAAAAAAAAAGAAAAAGAAAAAGAAAAAGAAAAGGCCTGGTAGCATGTAACCAAGCTATTAACAATAAAAATCTCTGAAGAGTGCTGGGGCTAAGGATGAGAGAGAAGACAAATAGGAGGGATACAAAAAATCTCTTCATATAGATCTGGACCCATTTTTTTTTAATATCAGCAATGTTCTTAATTTAATTAATTTAACCAAGATCATACAAACTAGGTCAGACACATGTTGCTTTTACTCTACCCACATCTCCAAATTAACAAAAACATAAGCTATCTCAGAATAAATACTTCATTTTAGGTCTTCACCCGTAAAATTAGACCAAGTCATACTGGTGATGCTGGAGTGGGTAAGAATGGATAGATACAGAATTCCAAGTGACAGTAACACTAGTATAACACAGGTGCTAATATAAGTAACACTTCATTTAGAGTATCCAGATTTCTAAAGTCTCTTTTGTCTCTTAGGAAGAACAAACTTAATTGTTAATGGTCAAGAGCAGAGTCTGCAAACTTTTTCTGTAAAGGGTCATACGCTAAGTATTTGAGTTTACATGCCAACAAGTCTGTTGTAACCATTCAACTCTGCCACTGTACCACAAAAGCAGCCACACACAATATATAAACGAATGGGAATGGCTGTGTTCCCATAAACTTATTTACAAAGATGGGGAAAAAACAAAGATGGAGGGGTAGATGGATTTGGTCCACAGCCTGTAGCTTGCTGACCCCTAGTCCAGAGGATAGAATAATGACTCACAGGCAGAATCACGAAGGTCCATAGAGTACAACTCAACAGAAGGCATTCATCACAATCAGGACCAACTGCAAATGGAACGAGTCCCCTCAGTGGATCCCAAGCTTCCGTGAGAATGCCCAAGTTATGCATACAGTCACGTGTGTGAATATGCAACAGGAATTCCATGCAACAGCTAAGTGTGGTCTGGAGGGCAGACTCTAAGGTTGCCTTCGATGGGAGTACTTTACTCAAGAGCAGGTTCTGACCCAAAGATCCACTTCTAACCATAAAACAACTTACCAAACATGAGAAAACTGTTCTAAGCCCATCAAGGAATGTTCAGGATTATTAAAGATGCTCTTTCTAATTCTCAAACAAGCCCGTGAATGGCTACAAACAGACGGCTGCCTTGGAGTACCATTCTTGGCTGAGAAACAGGATTCCAAGTAGCCAATTGGCTCAGTTAAAAGATTCCCTACAGAAGAAAAGTAGGTAAGAAATCGTTAGTCAAAATGTCAAATAGAGATGTAGGAAAACATGTTTTCTTTAATGACTGATTTCATAATTTTAGCATCTACCAAGTGTTATACAGCTATTAAAAATGATTCATATGTCATGAATACATATAAATAAATATATCATCACCACACACATATTATTATATCCCTTTTGACAGCCAGAGAGAGTAGAGGTCTAAGAAAGACAGGGGGCTCGAGGCACCTGGGTGGCTCAGTGGACTAAGCCTCTGCCTTCGGCTCAGGTCGTGATCTCAGGATCCTGGGATGGAGCCCTGCATCAGGCTCTCTGCTCAGCGGGGAGCCTGCTTCCTTCTCTCTCTGCCTGCCTCTCTGCCTACTTGTGATCTCTGTTTGTCAAATAAATAAATAAATAAAATTTTAATCTTTTTTTTAAGATTTTATTTATTTATTTGACAGAGAGAGATCACAAGTAGATAGAGAAGCAGGCAGAGAGAGAGAGGGAAGCAGGCTCCCTGCTGAGCAGAGAACCTGATGCGGGACTCCATCCCAGGACCCTGAGATCACGACCTGAGCCGAAGGCAGAGGCTTAACCCACTGAACCACCTAGGCGCCCTAAATAAATAAAATCTTTAAAAAAAAAAAAAAAAGAAAGACAAGAGGAATTCTCAGAAGTTCTACTATGACCATAACTCAAATTCAATGTCACCATTACTAAGGTATGTGACTTTGGTCAGAGCTAAAAGAGTATTTAGGGGCAACTGGGTGGCTCAGTCGGTTAAGCCTCTGCCTTCAGCTCAGGTCATGGTCTCAGGGTCCTGGGACTGAGCCCTGCATTGGGCTCTCTGCTCGGCAGGCAGCCTGCTTCCCCCTCTCTTTCTGCCTCCTCTCTGCCTACTTGTGACCTCTCTCCGTGTGTCAAATAAATAAATAAAAATAAAAGAGCATTTAAAATACAGGGAATTGGGGCACCTGGGTGACTCAGTTAAGCATCTCAACTCTTGCTTTCTGCTCAGGTCATGATCTCAGGGTTGTGAGATCAAGCTACAAGTTGGGCTCTGTGCCAAGCATGGAGTCTTCTCCACATTCTCTCCCTCTCCCTCCCCCTCCCCCGCCCCTTCCTCGGCTCACGCTTGTGTGCACACTCTCTCTAAAGAATAAATGAATTCTTTTTTTGTTTTTAAAGGTTTTATTTATTTGACAGAGAGAAACACAGCAAGAAAGGGATCACAAGAAGGGGGAGTTGGAAAGGGAGAAGCAGGCTTCCCGCTGAGCAGACAGCCCAATGTGGGGCTGGATCCCAGCACCCTGGGATCACGACCTGAGCCAAAGGCAGACCCTTAACAACTGAGCCACTCACGCACCCCAAGAATAAATGAATTCTTAAAAAAAATTTTTTTTAAATAAAATAGAGGGAATAACATGCACAAAGTTAAATGACAAGTGTTACATCACATGCAGAGAACAAGTTATTTTGATTGGCTGGAGTGTGAAAGATAAGGCAAAGAATAACAAAAGATAAGGAGACAGATTGTATACAGACATCCTCATGCTTTTCACAAGCTTGCGTGTAAGCCACTGTGTGTTTGTGAAAGACCTACCTCAGTACCTGTTTTTGCTAATCAAAAGAAATCCAAAGAGAATGTTTGATTTTACCAAAAAAAAAAAAAAAAGGCTAAAATGGAAAGCACTCAGCATCTGTTTTGCAGCAAGCTGTTATAGATGCAGGATGCACCCCAAGCAGTGAGATCAGCCCCACCCAGGTCTTTCCCCAGGAACTACACTCAGCATCTGAACATCAAGCCACCAGAGCTTTGAACTGTGTCTGTGAGCATCTGTGCTTTATCTTGATTTATTTTGTGCATCAACTAACAATATGTGTCCTGAAGTAACAGAAAAGCCTAAGAGGTAATTTTTTGGGCCTGGGAACATTCAACAATTTTTCCACATAAATTAATGGTAATTGCTTCTTCACATTATGCCATTTCAGGTCACAAAAAATTTCATAGGAATGATCTACTTTCAGATAGTGTGGGGAACATGTTCCAAATAAGCATACATTCAACTAAAAAGAACCGAACAGGGGTGCCTGGGTGGTTCAGTCAGTTAAGCATTTGCCTTCAGCTCAGGTCAGGATCCCTGGGATCAAGCCCCGCTTCAGGCCCCCTGCTTAACGGGAAGCTTGCTTCTTTTCCCTCTGCCTGCTGCTCCCCCTGCTTATACTCTCTGTCAAGTAAATAAATAAAAATCTTTAAAAAAAAAAAAAAAAAAAAGGAACAGAATATATGAAACAAAGTAGTTTAAGCAATAAAGGGAGTACATGGGATCATAATCATACTACTAAAATATCTACAGACAGAACAGATTTCAGGTTTGGCTTGGTCTAGTAGCTCTCTGCTCTAGTAGCTCTCTCTTACTAGAATGTAAGCTCCATGTGGCAGGAGTTTTTCTACCTTGTTCACTGCTACATTCACGGCCTAGTACATTGCGTGCAAGGGGGTAGGTACTAAAAAAATTCATGTTACATGGAAAAAAAAAAAGGATTGTTTAAGTCTAAACTGGTTAAATTGGAAAGTGAGAGGCACCTGGGTGGCTCAGTTGGTTGGGCCTCTGCCTTCAGCTCAGGTCATGATCTCAGGGTCCTGGGATCGAGCCCCACATTGGGCTCTCTGCTCAGCGGGAAGCCTGCTTTCCCCTCTCTCTCTGTCTGCCTCTCTGACTACTTATGATCTCTCTGTCAAATAAATAAATAAAATCTTAAAAAAAAAAGAAAAAAAAAAGTGGGCGCCTAGGTGGCTCAGTTGGTTAAGTGACTGCCTTCAGCTCAGGTCATGATCCTGGAGTCCAGGGATCAAGTCCCACAGGGATCAAGTCCCATATTGGGCTCCCTGCTCAGCAAGGAGTCTGCTTCTCCCTCTGACCCTCTCCCCTCTCATGCTCTCTTTCTCAAGTAAATAAATAAAATCTTAAAAAAAAAAAAAAAAAAAGGAAAGTGAAAAACTGAAAGAATATAATGTCATTTAAGAACGTTTGTTTAAAAAAAAAAAAAAAAAGAACGTTTGATTAGGGGCACCTGGGTGGCTCAGTGGGTTGAAGCCTCTGCCTTCGGCTCAGGTCATGGTCCCAGAGTTCTGAGATCGAGTCCCGCATCCAGCTCTCTGCTCGGCAGGGAGCCTGCTTCCCTTCCTCTCTCTCTGTCTGCCTCTCTGCCTACTTGTGATCTCTGTCTGTCAGATAAATAAATAAAAATCTTAAAAAAAAAAAAAAAAAGAACGTTTGTTTATACATTTACCTATTTAAATATGTACCTGTATATGTTTAGAAAGCTGTCTGAAAGGATATTTCACCAAAATGTTAACATTTTGGTAAAATGGACATGGTAATATGGTAAAAATGGATAGTGAGATTTCTGGACTATTTTTATACTTTGTAATTTGCATAATATTCAAAATTTTTTAAATCATCAGAAATCCTCTTTTTTCTTCCTAAGTAGTAACTCCTTTCAAAAGACAAGAACTTGGCAAAGCAGAACCAATATAGGTTTCAAGTCCAAGGTATCCACAACTAGCATTTTGAATTTACAAATAACTTTTTTTTCCACATTTCATGAAAAATTTACTAACTTCTTTCAAGAGATGACATACAGACACTCTAGACCATCATTTTATTTTCAGCTTCCATTAATTAAATCTACCAGCACAAGTGGTAAGATTATAGGCCTGGTGTTGTCCCTCACAGTACCTTTCATTACTTTTCACTTATAAAAACTGTATTATTGGCTACATATAAAATATTACATGTATTAAATGTGTAACAGAGCATAATACTATGAAATCCTGTGTACCCACCCACCCAAAGAACTAGAGCTTTACCAAAAAAAACGTATCTTTTTATGTTGCTTCTCTCCTATGGCAACCCATCCTTTCTCCCTGAGATAAACAGGTGCCTGAATGGGATCTTTATCACTCACTACCTTTAATATAATTTTATCACATGCATATGCATGCCTAGATAATATTTATTTTGTTTTGAATTCCATAAAAACTGGGATTGAACTGCATGTTATCTTCTCAGACTTGCTTTTTCTCTCTCAGTATTACAATTCTAAGACCCTTCCATATTGTGTATGCTTTTGATGACTTTAAAATATTTTTCCAAATATGCTTACAGGCATTCTTTTGTTTATCCTCATCCACGTTTCTGTGGAATAAAGATAGTAAACAATTTAGAGATGAAGAAACTAAGGCCAAACAATTCTCTGGTCTTCATTAAAACGCCATAAAGAAAAATGGCCAAAAAAAGACCCCTCACCTAGTAAGATGGGATCCCTGTGTCTTGTTTTCATTTGTTTAGCAAACATTCCAATATTCTACAATTGCCAGACATTGAGCTAAGCTTGGGTAGAAGAAACAAGAATTCTTATCACAGCAGAATTAACAGTTGGTTGGGGAGAACCTCACAATATGTTTCAACATCATGGGAAAAATATGGAAAGCACCTAGTGCCACACAAAGTGCTCAGCAAAACGTGGTTTTCCAAGCTCTTACTTAGGCATTTCTCTCATTTTAACAATACTGCAATTGTACTAACTGTGTAATACGAGAAAAACCAACAAGTTATTAATGCAGAGTTTTTGTACTCAAAGTTTATCTGAAAAAAAAAAAAAAAAGAAAGAAAGAAAAGTTTATCTGTATGTCTTAGTACTGACAGAAAGTTCAGGTCCCTTATGACCCTCCTGCCCAGACCGTAAAATTACCCTTGTTATAATTCATGTCCCCAGCACAGTTCCCTCCCCTTCTTAAAATACACTACACCAGGGACGCCTGGGTGGCTCAGTTGGTTGGACGACTGCCTTCGCCTCAGGTCATGATCCCGGAGTCCCGGGATCGAGTCCCACATCGGGCTCCCAGCTCCATGTGGAGTCTGCTTCTCCCTCTGACCTTCTCCTCACTCATGATTTCTCTCACTGTCTCTCTCTCTCAAATAAATAAATAAAATCTTTAAAAAAAAAAATACACTACACCAGTACTCCAGACTCTGAGTTCCTTAATTTTATGCTACCTCTTAACTAAATTTTTCACTTTTCTGTTAACAGACATTGTATTTCTTAACCTGGTATTCAAGGTTCTCTACAATCTGAATCCAATCAACCTCCTTGCTCCATCCAGTATTTCAAATTTATACTCCCCAGTCTGGTGTTATGCAGACCTCTAAGCCCTGCTCCTTCCTGCCTATGAAAATATTAGGCCTGTAATCTGGCACTGTGCAACAATTTTTTTTTAAATGAGCACAACCTTCTACAAGTAACAGTCCTTTTAGTAAATTCAATCTAAGTTAAACTTTTATAACATGCACAAACATTTCAGTCTTGAGAATTTTCTTCACAATGAAAACTGGCAGTAACCTAAAAGCCCAACAATAAGGAATTGGTTAATTAGAACACATCTCTAAAGCAAAGTACTCTGCAATCCCTTAAAACTATTAATGGCCACCCATTTATATGAAATTTAAGTTTTAGAAAGAAGTTATAAGACAGTGGGGTCACATAATTCATTTTCTAGTGTGCATGCGCAGAAACAAGTATGTAAGGTAGGCACCAAGATATTAACAGCGGTTTTCTCTGGGTGATGGCAGACTTTTTCTTCCATTTGCGTCTTCTAATTTCTAATGTTAATATTCGGCTCTATATAATGAGGTGAAAATAAACTCAAGCCCAACTTTCCGGGCCCAGTTTAAAAAGATTTCCTGTCTCTCCTTTTCGCCCTAGAACTTTTCCACATCTCCCGTCTCACTTCCTACAGCACTGGATGCCTCTCTCGGGGGTATTTATTAATTCCTAACCCGCGTAACACCAGCGTTCACATCCTATCTCTCCTACGTGAGCAAAAACTCTGTGAGAAAGGCTGTTACACTGCACGTGTCTGTTCCAGCCACGGTGCCAAGCCCAACCCAACCGGAGCTACCAGGAACGGAACAGATGACATCAGGCCGCTCGCCTCAGCAAAATCACGTGGTCGCTAGTGCACGTGATCCGTGGCTTCAAGAACTGCAACGACCCACTTGGGTTCAAGTTGTCGCATTTTACATCCCGTTATGAAGTCAGGTCTGCGCCTGCGCCCAGGCCTCTTTTGGGTGCGGAACCGCTGGTCTCTCAGAAGTTACCTGTTTCCAGAGCCGGCTTCACGCACCCACACCCGGTCGCTGTGGGCTGAGGCCCCGGCTCTTCCAACACGCGCATGGCGACTGCTCACTGAGGTGTCGACTGGCAGCGACAGGCCTTCCGCTTCCGGTCTCCGAGCTGGGTGCCTGCGCAGTAGCCGCCCTGACGGGGTGGCGCGAGCCCAGAGCCTGGCGCATGCGCGGGTAGTGGGACGCGCTCTAGGCGGGCGCTGCCTGTGGGACTGGTAGGGTTTCGATTTCCATTTCCCGGCTTCGGTCTCTCTGCGGGATCTCATTCTGAGCCTTCGCGCTGACCCGCTGCGATTCCCTGCCAGTCAGGAACTCCGAATTCCCGCGCTTGTGAAGGGGGACACTGCGATGAAGATTTACGCACTAAGATGTCTCTCTCAAACATTGATATAAACAATTACGTGACCAATGAATGACACTGATTTTTAAAGACAAAGGATGTGTTTATGCAGTTAACCACTTAGCATAACGATGGGATGTTAGGAAATTAGAAATTCTTTTTTTTTTTTTTTAAAGAAGATCCTGTAGTTCATGAGTGCCCACAAGGCATTTTTTTTTTTAAGATTTTATTTATTTATTTGACACAGAGAGAGAGAGAGAGAGAGATCACAAATAGGCAGAGAGGCAGGCAGAAGGCAGCCCCGCTGAGCGGAGAGCACGACTGGGGGGCGCAATACCGGGACCCTGGGATCATGACCTGAGCGAAAGGCAGAGGCTTAACCCGCTGAGCCACGCAGGCGCCCTGGGGAATTTGAAATTCTTGAGTGGTGGGAATACACATGATTATACTTCTGTATACTCCCAACTTTTCCGCAATAAAAACGATGTTTTGTCAGCAAGGAGCCCTAACTGAACCTTATTTCACTTCTAATGGATGGTGAGCGTCACACTGGAGTAGGAGTTAAGGAGTCCGGACTTTTCTGTGCTCCATACCCTATGGGAACTGAAGCAAGAATGAAATTCAGAGCCAATATGCTATGTACATGGGAGAGATTGTGATCGTTGTTTCTGGGCAAGCTGTGAAAGATTGAGAGCCAACAAGAATCCTGATTTCATTCCATGAGAAGACCAGTTATCCTTGCAGCGATACTATCCTCTCACCTACTTATTTGTAAAGTCATTTCTCCCCTATATCAAGTTTCTCTGTACATAAAATTCTGTTTCTGGGTTTTTTATCCTGTTTGTGGTCGGGGAACATAGGGCTTGCAATATAAAATATCCAGAAGCATGCAAGTCCACAGATTTTAAAAGCTCAACCATGAAAATCTGTTGCTAAACCTTCTCATTTCTCATGGCGTTATATAAGATCACTAGCAGAAAATAACCGGCAACACCCAAAGATTTAAGGAGAAGGTTGTGTAAAACACACACTTTGGGGCACCTAGGTGTCTCAGTCAGTTAAGCATCTGCCTGCAGCTCAGGTCATGATCCCAGGGTCTTGGGATCTAGTCCGGTGTAAGGGTTCTGCACTCAGCGGGAAGCCTGCTTCTCCCTCTCCTCCCTGCTCCTGCTCTATCTCTGTCCCTCTCTCCAATAAATAAAATCTTAAGAAAATAATAAAAATAAAGCACACACTTTAAAATTGGTCAACTTCATATATGAGTCCTAGGTCCATGAAAATTTGGAAAAGAATACTGTTAATCTGTTTCCAGAAGGAATGCCATTAATATGTGCACTTGCAGAAACAAGTTTGAAAACAATTGAGCTATACACACTTTTGTAAAACTGGGGCTGTAATAGCTGTGTTTGCCACTAGATGGTGGTATTAAAAGTGATGTCTTGCTTAATTTGTTGACAGACGAGTGTGGGAAAAGAGAGGTATTTGCCCTCTTGACACTAGATACCATTATCTAAAGATAATCACAAAAAATAATGCATTACCGAGTGTGACAAGAACTGCGATGCAAAGCAGATTTGGAGACACTGATGAAGTAGCTTGCTACATCCAAATTTCAAAGATAAATTTTCTTTTTATGGAAAACAGGAACTTAAATATATAGCAACTTTATTATGCGATCTGAGGCTTTTTATTACCCTTTCTAGAGTTATATCTGATTATTTATAGTTTATAAGGCAACTGTTCTTTGGAGGTGAGACCTAGGAATCTGCCTTTAAAAAGCCTAAATGATTCTAATACAGGTGATCATCAGCCTACACTTGGAGAGACACCACCTCTTAGAATGGTTCTTAACCTTCCATTTGGATGAAGGATCCCTTTGAAAAGCAATTAAAGCTTTGGGATTTTTAAGAACCACTATTGTACCTACCATGAGAGGAAAGTAGCACAAAGTAGGGATAGATGTTTACAAAACCTTTGATTCTGTGACCTCAAGGTTCAAAGCCAAGGAAGAAAACTGGGAAATGTTTAGATGCACACTGGTGTTTGAATGAGAATAGTGAGAAAGCAGAGTTTATGTGTATACAGGGAGCAAGGTAAGAGGATGAGCAGAAAGGATCCTAAGAGGTAAAAAGAGAAGATCCCTCTCTTTCTAATGTACTATAGTCCTCATTCCATCTACTTCCCCATCTCTTTCACCGTATGCCCCTGTGAATTGTACCTATGCAAGTATCTTATGGTTCGTTTTAATGCAACTCTCTTAGAACATGAAACTTCCATTTAGTCTTTTTCCTCTAATGTTGACCCACTCTGGCAGGTGGATTGAGACAAAATTTCTTAAGATTAGACCTAGCATGAAAAGCACTGAAGAAGTTAGATGTGACTTTAGGTGAGTACCCAGTCTCTCTGAGGATATTCTCTCATCTATAAAACTGGAACTATAATCATTGTCCCGCCCATTTCACACTCATATGCAAATAAAAAAGTGTTTATGAAAACAAATTCTGAAATGTCATCCAGATGTAAATGACTATTATACGGTTATGCTGCCCTCAATATGTCACTGGAGTAGTATGATGGGGTGTGAGTAAATCCCTATACGATGAACCTATCTCGAGAAGAAAAAAATGTAATGTTCATGGGGGTGTGTGTGCAAACAGAAGGGAAACAGCATTGTGACTGCCCATTTTATCAGTGGCCATTAACTGTAGCTGCACTTTAGGATCACCAGGGGAGTTTTTCAAATACCCTAAATGCAATGTTGTATCCCATTTTGGATCCTGAAGCCAGAAAAAGGGCATTAGTAGAAAAACTAATGAACTCCAGATAATGGTAACATCACTGTCTTAATTTCTTACGGTTTGATGAATGGACCATGGTTACAGAGCTTGTTAACATTAGGATAAACTGGTGAGAGGTATACAGGAACTTCTGTACTATCATGTTTTCTATAATTTTTCTTTTAAAGATTTTATTCATTTATTTGACAGAGATCACAAGTAGGCAGAGAGGCAGGCAGACAGAGGGGGCGGGGGAAACAGGCTCCCTGCTGAGCAGAGAACCTGATGCAGGACTCGATCCCAGGACTCTGAAATCATTACCTGAGCTGAAGGCAGAGGCTTAACCCACTGAGCAACCCAGGCACCCCGAGTTTTCTGTAATTTCTAAAATTATTTCTCAAACAATATTTAAAACAAAAAAAAACTATTTAAAAATTAATGTATCTATACCTGGATGCCATCCTAGACAGGTAAATCAAAATCCCTGGGGAGGTGTCTGGACAGCTGTAATTTTGAAATCTTCTCCAGTGGTTCTAATGGACCCTGAGCAGCTCTTCTACACCGTGATGCTTATGAGACTGGGATTCTGTCTTGTTCTTAGCTGTCTAGCTAGTACTTAGCACAGTGCCTCTGTACCTATATAGGGAGCTTATACAATCTCATCCTTGCTGAACTAAACCCTTACCTGCAAAAATCCCCTTCCTTTGAGTCTTCTGTAATAACAGATGGAAAACTGCAAACAGCGCCCCCGCCAAAATACTGGGAGGTTCAGATATCTTCCCACACAAAATAATTCCTATTCATGCCGCCAGTCTCTTGTAATTTTCAGCTAACCCTGACCATTCTAAGATAGAAAGTCTCAAAATACTAAAACTGCATTGTTCAAAAGTCTTACTTCGTTCCACATTACCGAACACATACTTCTTAGGTGTGCAAAATTCTGTCCACTCTGATATGAGACTTTCAGCCTATTAGCCTGCTGTTCCACACGGACCGTGCATTAACTGTAGTTTGTATGCAGTTCCCTTGAACATATGCTGAATTCATCCTTCTCTGTGTCACATACAGTGAGGCCACAATCCTCACCTACAGTACAAATCTTTTCCGTCTTTCAAGATTCCTTGAAGATGTGATTTTTTTCAGGTCGCTCCAGCAAAAAAAAAAAAAAAAAAAAAAAAAAAGTGAGTGTTTCCTCTATTGTGTCTACTCTTCAAATGACATTAGCATTACTGTTATTTGTGTTCTGTTTTATTCCCCCCACGAGACAAGATTAAACCCCTGGAGGGTAAGGACTATGTGTTATAGGTGTTCTAATCCTCGTGGTGCTTATCAGGATGCTGTCCAAACGGTGAAACATGTAATAAGGATTTAATGTACATTTTGCACAAATACAATATTTAAAAAGGAAAAAGAAAATCAAAATTCAAACACTCCAGGAAACTGCGTTGATCACTCGTCCCCTCAAAATATCTTGGAAGGAGTCCCAGAATAATTGTTAAAATTAACTTAAAAAGACTACCAAAGTCTGAATAAAATGTTGATGCTATTGTTACATGGATAAGTGAACAAAGTTTACAAGAAAACTATTACTCCCCCAGATTTTAAGTGTTCAAACAATACTTTCTCTACTTTTAAGAATTAACCAAGGAAAAAATAAATAAAATATAGAAGAATTAAAGGTTCTTGATAAAGGTGATCAATTATTCAGCCATTCCTTTCCCATTTCTGTCTCTCCCCCACCACTATCCTCACCCCAATATGCATATATGTATATATACACACACGCACACGCACACGCACACGCACACACTAGCAGGATATCATCTATGTAACAGAGCCTGAAAAAAACACCTTCATTCTCTCAGAGTCTATACATGAAAAAAAGAAAACGTTAAAATATTAATGAGTATTGTAGAGATCTACAGTGTTTTGAAAAAATCACACACGTAATATATTAAGATGTGTATTTTGTTGGACAACTATTGATGGTTGAGCATTGTTAAAACAAAACATAACTAAAGACGTCATTTTCTGGATGAATTTCTTGAGGAACATTTGCAATTGCTGGTATCTCTGGTTCTTCTGCTTCAGGTTTTTCTCTCATTTCTGTAAAACAAAATATGAAAATAGGTTCAATAAATGGTATTGAAACAATTAAGTATCTCGGGGAAAAAAACTCTGCCTCACACCTTGCACAAAAGCAAATTTCAAATAAACAAAAGTTTTAAATATTAAAATACCATAAGTTTTGTAGAAACAATAAAATGTTTTTTATACTCTTAGTGTTAGAAAGGCCTTTCTAAGCAGAATAGAGACCAGAAAACATAAAGGAAAAGAATGACTGGTTTGAAAAACTAAATATTAAAATCATGACAGTTTTGAATAACTAAAAATTAAAATCTTATCATGTAGATGACAAAAACCACTATAAATAAAGTTAAACCAAAAACAACAGGGAAAATATTTATAACTTATATGTAGGTGAAAGCTTAATAACTATGATATAAGGATCTTTAAAATCAATCCAAAAGATCAAATTTAAAATAGAACAGGAATTCAAACAGGCAATTCTCAAAAGAAAAAAATTCAAATTTATAATAGTCATGAAATCCAAATTCATGATAATATTAATGCCTAGTAGCAGTAGTCATCATTAAAAAAGTAGAAATTAAAACAATTGGGTTTTTTAGTTTTATTTTTTTAAGCCTAACACATAGGAAAAGGTTGTTGTTGGTTTTTTTTAAAGATTTATTTACTTATTTTAGAGAAGTGGGGGCAAAAGCAAGGGAAGCGGCAGAGGGAAAGGGAGAGAGAGAATCCTCAAGCAGGCTCCCTGCTGACTGCAGAACCTGACACGGGGTTCAATCCCAGGATCCTGACATCATGACCTGAGCCAAAATCAAAAGTCAGACATTCAACAAATCGAGGCACCCAGGTGCCCCAGAAAAGTTTTTTAAAGGTAATAATATGCAGTATGGGCAAGGGCCTAGTGGAAAGGCATTATATAAACTCTTGGTTTGTGTGGATTGCTACAATATTTTGGGATGCTGGTCTGACAGAATGTATCCAAACATTAAATGTGGGTACCTTTTGGCCCAGCATTTCAATTTCTAGAGATTTATCCAAAGAATATAATTGAACAGACAAGCTTCCTGTGCCTCAGTTTCCTAATCTATGAAATGGGGATAATATTGTTTTTCTGTTAGGGCTTTAACATTGAATAAAATAATTCACCCAAAAGGTTTAATAGTTTCTGACACATAGAAAGTACCCCATAAATGTTACTTCCAATGATGTCCATCGAATGCTGTTTTAACAGTAAAACTTGGCAGTAATGTAAGTGTTCGTCATTTCAGGGATTGGCTGAATAAATTATTGCACATGTAATAGAACTACTACAAAAGATTTCACAAGATGGCCATGATATATAGTGTATGTGAAAAAACGCAGGTTACAGAATGTATTCTACTATCTCATTTGTTTGTTTTTTTAAGATTTTATTTATTTATTTATTTGATAGAGATCACAAGTAGACAGAGAGGCAGGCGGATGTGCGGGGGAGGAGCAGGCTCCCTGATGAGCAAAGAGCCCAGTGCAGGGCTTGATCCTAGGACTCTAGGCATCATGACCTGAGCCGAAGGCAGAGGCCTTAACCCACCGAGCCACCCAGGCCCCCCTACTATCTCATTTGTTAAAATGAAGGAAAACCACCTTCAGGATGAGGATCAAAGATAGGAAATGGTGTTAGAGTGGACTTACTCTACATTCACTTACATATTGCCCTCCTTGATCATGATGAACATTCATAATTCATTATTATGAACATTTTCTACTCAGTAAAAAAGGTAGATACTTCCACTTGTTTGGCCAAACAAAACCCCCAAAAAAGAAATCACGAATTAATTGCCCACATTAACCTTGGCAAGAATGAACCTTCTAGAACGGAGCCCTGTGTGGATGAGAACTGCTTCTCCAGCAGGGGCTTCTGTCAGCACAGGCCCATGCTTCACCCATCTGCTTTTTACTCTAATTTTTTCTTTTCTTTACTCCAATTTTTTCAAGGTATTTCTTTAAAACCTGTGGGAACCCAACTAACCCCATGCTTTTGTTGCACTCATCTTTTAGGAAAGAGAATAAAAAAGCTACCAGAGGGATTTCTTTAGGAAACAATTGCCTGGACAGAACTCTAGTCTGGTAGACTCAGCCCTTTGCTAACACTGTCCACGGTATTGTGTGAAGAGTAAGTCAAACAGAAGAAAGGTCACATTATTTAAAAAGTGTTATGCTTAGGAGAAAGCTTTTCAGGAATAGGCATTGAAATAGAAAGGGGTTCTTGGCAAACTTGATAAATCCTACAAAAATCCCAGTAATAGGATCATATTTTCTCTTTATAATTCCCTCATACCTTGTACCCTGAGAATTTACTTGCTTTAAGTTTGCTGGGAAATTTTTATTCTCAAGAAAAATTGTATTCCTGAAGTTTCCCTATTAATTTAGACTTGACTGTTCTTTAAAATATTTTGTGCATAATTCATCTTATATTGGGTTCATTTCACTTTACTGGCTAAAGCTTCCCAGGTATATCAAACACCTACTATAAACGATTATATTTCCTTTTTTTATTATTAAAAGATTTTATTTATTTACTTGAGAGAGAGAGAGAGTGAGAAATCATGAGCATGGAGAAGGTCAGAGGGAGAAGCAGACTCCCCACGGAGCTGGGAGCCCCATGTGGGACTTGATCCCGGGACTCTAGGATAATGACCTGATCCGAAAGCAGTCACTTAACCAACTGAGCCATCAGGCGCCCCACACTTATATTTTCAATGATTTTCTTTTAATTCTTTGTAAATGTGCCAAACAGACATTGGTTGGATGAAAAACATTTTTTACTCGAAACTAGCTAATGACATTAATGGTATCCCTTGCAATAATGGGAGATACCCTAAGATTGTTAAGGCAGGCTATAAAATCACCACTCCGAGGGAGACGTACCTATGTTGGTGCTCTAATTATAAATGGGGAATCCCATTAAGTGGCAGTGTCACTGACTTATCCCAATAAAACACCCTACCTCGAGGAAAAGTATAAACATCCTTAGCGTCCTCCTGGTGTGCTTTAGGATCCTGGCCTTGGGGCCCACCTGTTTCTTGATATGGTTCTGGAAAGCATTCTTTGGGCAGATCCTTATTTTTATATGCCTTAGTAGAAAGATCTTCAGGCCCAGGTGTTTCTTGGTATATTTCAGGTGAGCCTTCCTCAGGCGCAGGTGTTTCTTGGTATATTTCAGGTGAGTCTTCCTCAGGCCCAGGTGTTTCTTGGTGTATTTCAGGTGGATATTCCTCAAGAGCAGGCACTTCTTGGGTTGTGTTATGAGAGAATGCTTTAGGTACAGCAATTTCTTTATATGTTTCACGAGAGAAGTGTTCAGGTTCAACGGTTTCTTGGTGTGTCTTTGTAGAAAGGTCTTTAGGCACAGCTATTTCTTGTGTCTTAGGAAAGAAGCTTTCAATCTCAGCCATTCCTTGTTCTGGTTCAGAATTGTATTCCTCAGGTTCAGCTCTCTTTTGGTATATCTCAAGAGCATACCCTTTAGGCATATCTGGTTTGGGGAATGCTTCAAGAGAGCATGCTTCCAGGTCAGCTACGTCTTCAGATGTTTTAGAAGGAAGGACTTTGACTATAGCTGTTTCTTGGCACATTGCAGAGGAGAGGGCTTTAGGTTCAGCCGTATCAGGGCACATTCTGGAAGGATGGTTTTGAAGTACAGCTGTTTCCTGGCACATTGTAGAAGTAAAATCTTCAGGTTCAGCTGTATCAGGGCACATTATGGAAGAATGGCCTTGAATCATGGCCGTTTCTTGGTACATTGTAGGAGAGAGGGCTTCAGGTTCAGCCACATTTTGGCATGTTTCAGAAGGGTGGTTTTGTACAACTGTTTCTTGTAACTCAGAAGAATGATCCTGATGTATGTTTTCTTGATCCACTGCAGAAAATTGTGTCTCAGGCATAACTTTTTTGGGAGAGGCTAGCAGAGACAGCACTTCAGTTATACTCTTAGGTGGTTCAGTTTCTTTCTCCATAGGTGCCAGTGCTTTCTCCATTGTGTCTTTTTTAAATTGTGACTGAGATTCCTCCTTCAGTTCCGTACTTTGTCGTCTCTTTCTGCCTCTTTTGTTTCCTTTTCCTGTCCTTGGCCGCTTGCATTTTTTCTCTCTGGGGAAGATAAGAATTAGTGTCAGCAATGGGATTACAGGATTGGAAGAAATTCTTAGTGATAACAGTCCCAGGCCTCCCGCGTCCTACTGTGTTGCATGATCATGAACAAATACTTAATCTCTCTAGAACTCAACCTTCTTGTTTGTAAAATGAAGGAGAAGTGCTAGATGTTCTCAGTTGGCAAGAGAAGAAATGTCCCTCGGGGAATTTTTGCCTCTGACACCTGGCTCACACAGAATCTTCCTGGTGAGTGTAGAGTGTGTGTGTGTGTGTGTGTGTGTGTGTGTGTGTGTGTTTGAAACCATATACTTAAAGATTGGTCATGGAAAGTGTATTACTCATGTTGTACAGGAATAGACTGGCATGCTGGTTTACACAGTAGTCTCTTTGGGTCACGTCTATGTGAGTTAGTCCCACTATGCCCTGCGCAAATGGATACAACTGTGTTTCTAGATCTGCAATCTAGGCACAGCTCCTTGTCTGTGCAGCCTGCAGACAGAAGATATATGTATAATTGCTTATCTAACTCAGCGTCTTGTGTACAGAATGTTAATCGCTGTGATACATGTCAAAGGAGATGTACTGTAAGCTGGGCCAAAAGCTGCAAAAACATTTCTGGAAATAAAGCAGCGTAGTAGAAAGGTATGAATGGCCATATTATACCTACTCCAAATTAATAGCTAGAGGAGGGATCTAAAAGATAAAAAGATATGCATGGAAATTGCAGTTAATGACAAATAGTTAGTTATTGCCACTACAAGCAAATACAGATGGCTAATGCAGATGGACTGGGGGGTTGGGGGAGGAAAAGGTGCTATAAATAAACATTTCATCATTTTTCTAAACCTATTGAAATTCTGTTCTATGCTACCTGCTCTGCGGAGCCTTCTCTTATAGATCACAGGCTGAAATGTTCTCCTTGTTCAGGATTTATGACGAGGGTCATGCTTTTAGGGGAGGGACATGGGCTGCCTCATACTTTCATTTTTTCTGGGGAGATATTCTGAGAATAAATATTCTTATTTCTTTTAGCAAACAAGGTAAAACCAGTGCTTTTATATCTCTGCAGTGTTCGTAATTCCTTGCATAGTTAAATGGGTACCCTATTCTACCTTTATTTATGTTTGGTGATTTCCATAGTTAAAAATTTTTTAAAGGTGGCCTCACAAGAACAAGTTTGAAATCAATGTTTTGAAAGTTGTATATGTGGGGCACCTGGGTGGCTCAGTGGGATAAGCCTCTGCCTTCAGCTCAGGTCATGATCTCAGGGTCCTGGGATCGAGCCCCACATCGGGCTCTCTGCTGAGCAGGGAGCCTGTTTCCCCTCTCTCTCTCTGCCTGCCTCTCTGCCTACTTGTGATCTCTGCCTGTCAAATAATTTTTTAAAAAAATCTTTAAAAAAATAAAAAAATTTAAAAAAGTAATATAGAAGAAAACGTGCAAAAACGATGGGATGAAACCTCAGCATTACAGAGTTTAATTCCAAGTAACAGAGGACACAAGGTAATTTATAAAGTCCTCATTGTCAGATTTTTAAAAGATGGTGTATGTGACTTTTTCAGGAAACACATCTCATCCTAGATATTGAATCCTAAATAATTTGTTAGGTAGAACTCTGAGGGAAACTGAGTTATGTTCCATATTCTTCCTGGTTGTTTTTCAAAAGAGACAAATACATCTATGTGGCCTAAAATTTAATCTAGACTCTGTCATTGGTCAGCTATGTTATCACGGACAAGTCACTTAAGCTTTCTATGCCTTAGTTTCTTCATAGGTAAAATGGAGTAAATGGTATCTGTCCAACTTCATGTGGTAATTGTAAGAATTGCATATAATAGGGGTTCCTGGGTAGCTCAGTTGGCTAAGCATCCAATGCTTGGTTTTTGGCTCAGGTCATGATCTCAGGGTCCTGAGAGTGAGCCCCATGTTGAGCTCCCTGCTCAGCAGGGAATCTGCTTCCCCTCACCCTCTCCCCCGTCTCATGCACACCCTCTCTCTCTAAAAATAAATAAATAAATCTTTTTTAAAAAGAACTGCATATAATAACTTGGATGAGTGAATTATTCAGATATAAATTAGTACTCATATTAATACAGGAAGCCCAGTCCTTCTTATGTGCCAGGCACTGTTTTGAGTAATTTACTTATTCTATTATCTCATATAATCTTCACATCATCCACTTATGAGACAGATACTATTATTACCTCCATTTTGCAGATGACAAAACCGAGGCACTTTCTTGTCCAAGGTCTAATGGCTAGAAGTGGGGGAGCCACACTTCAGGTCTAGCCATTCTGGCTTTAACAGCCAGGGCTCTTAACCATGACCCTCTGCTGCTTCTTTCTGGAACCACCAAGGTTTCACTGTGTGGTGTGTTATGGTAAGAACAGCCATCAGCAGTAAAGAGATATGTCACAAGAGCATGGCCAGCCAGCTGCCAAGAGACTTACCAAGGTGTCATCTACTTCAGTGGTTTTTTCAGCCTTGTCCCACCCCCACCCCAACCCAGCAAGCCCAGAAACCCAATTCTATCAGCACTTGGAGAAGAGCTCCCTTTATCTGGGATAGAACTCATCAACCAGCTCAGAGAGACTGATAGATAAGCCTAAAGACCAGTTTTTAAGGAAACAGTGAGAAAAGCAAAGTCACCTAGCAGAGGATGCTTGGACTAACAGACGAATGTATTCTTTCTCTGTACCAAGTATTTGAGAAGCCAAGTAACTATCAGAAGTTTGCTTGGCAAGTGTGGAATTAGGGGGGCTAATAGGATATTCTTCAACTGAGTCACCTACCAAAGGACTCGAGTACAAAAGTTTCTGCTGTAATTCCTGGAAAACCATAACTCCTGGAAAACCTTTCTGCAAATCATACACTAAAAGTGCAGCGCTTGGGGGGGAAAATAGAGTTAAGGCAAATAACTAAAATTCTGTGCAACTTTTTTGTTTGTTTGTTTTTATTAAGTAGATCTAACGCAGGACTTGAACACTCAACCCTGAGATCAAGACCTGAGCCAGATCAAGAGTCGGGGGGCTTAACTGACTGAGCCACAAAGGCGCCCCTTGTGCAACACCAACAAAAATAATGGGTACCCAGGAAATGACTTGAGTAGTCCAGACAGGCCGCTTACCCCGGCTGGAGGCTGCCTGAGACAGAGTGAAAATACTCAAAAGCAACAGTGTAAATGCAGGCTTTCAGCTGCTGAGATCATGCAAATGGTGGGGGTACTCTGAGCCAGCAGGCTGGGCACTGGAGGTAGTGCAAGCTACATGTGGGGAGCAGTGCAGGGCTAATCCTGTCCTCTGGGGAAGGACGCCTGGGTGCATCCTGAAAAGGCCCCTGCTTTTGCAGCAGCCAAGCTGAAGGTTTTTCCCGTTCCGACTGAAGGTTTTAATTGTATTCCCTTTTGACCAGGCAAAATCTCAAACCAATACAACTTCTACATTATACTGACATCATTCTCCTATTTACCAATCACATGTGAGCTGACTGGTGCTGTAGAAACTCGCCTCGTAGCAAACTAGCTGGTAACTCAGTCCACAGGGGGATAGGTGCTTTTTCTCCAGAAAAATGCTAAAACATCTACCTTGTACTTTTTTTTAAATGACACCTACAAATATGTAACCTATTTTATCTTTGCCATCAAAAGAAACATTTTTGCAGCACAATGAAGAAATGCAAATCTAACTGCTAATCTAATAATAAGAAGAATGATGATAATAAGTGTTTAGATCAGTGGTTTTCAACTGGGGGCAATTTTGCCCCTTCGTTTCCGCCCCCCCCCCACACCCCACCCCCTGTCCCATGTCAGCAGACATTTGACAATGTCTGGAAACACTTTTGATTGTCACAACAGGGGTGAGGGAGTGCTACTACTTTCTAGATGCCAGAGAAACTACAAACCATCTACAATGTACAGAACAGCCTCCCACACAAAGACTTACCCTGCCCACAGCCTCAATAGTACCCAGATTGAGATACTCTGGCTTAGATGGCTAAGCTCATACTCTGGCTCCTTGGGCTCCCCGTTTCTATCTTTAAGCATGTCCAAGTACCTCTGTTTTCAGAGTCCTATTTTAAATGAGTGTAGTTAGAAGCTGCCTCATTTATAATCATGGTTTCAGACTCCCTCCCTAAGGGAGGCAGGTGACTTTGCTTGGAGATTTAAGAACTCCTACACTCTTCCATCACTTGTTTCCATGGTTTACTCCATGGAGAGTTAGCACTCTTCATTCAATTAGGATTTTACTAATTGAAAGCTTGAAAAAACTAGCTTGACATTCTCCTCCAAGATATCTACTGCTCCCAACAAGATGCTTCTATGTTTGTATTACCAGGGTAGTAGAACACCAGGCCCCTCTACAATATGATTCAGCTGCCTGGGGCTTTAATTTAAGAAGAACAGGAATAAAATTCTTTTCCCAACCCTTCACTAGCTATGTGATTTTAGTCAAGAGATTTAACCTTTGGAGACTTGGGGTTTTTTGTTTTTTGGGGTTTTTTGTTTGTTTTGTAAAATAGAAATAATCCCCCACCCCCTCTAATTTCTGGGGTTGTTGGAAAGATACAGTGTGTAAAAGCACGTCAGCACTACTTCGGGGCGCCTGGGTGGCTCAGTGGGTTAAAGCCTCTGCCTTCAGCTCAGGTCATGATCTCAGAGTCCTGGGATCGAGCCCCACATCGGGCTCTCTGCTCAGCTGGGAGCCTGCTTCCTCCTCTCTCTCTGCCTGCCTCTCTGCCTACTTGTAATCTCTGTCTGTCAAATAAATAAATAAAATCTTAAAAAAAAAAAATTAAAAAAATAAAAATAAAAAAAAAAAAAAGCACGTCAGCACTACTTGACCCAAAGCATATACTGGACAAATATAAGTTCTTTTCCCTCGCAATGATACTATACCCAAAATGCCACTGCAAATTTTGCTTCTCTTGCGCTTCAGCTTTCCTTTTTCTGAGTTGCTCTCTGTTTCGCAAATTCCAAGTTCCAGTGTCTTCTGTAGGATCAAAATGGAAGTTAGAGGATGTAGTGATAAATTGTGGCATTTATCAGCAAGAGTCCTAGGGCACAGTGGTAGAACCTCTACACAAGGTGTCTGTTTCGCTCCCAGTTTTGGGAGGACAAAGACCATATCTTATTTATCCTTGGACTGACCTCCAAAGAATGCCTAGGAGCAAACATTCAGTAAACACTTTTTAAACGAAAGAATCAGTACATAAGTGTGCTATTAACCCATTAATGTCTTCAAAATAATTTTACATATTGTAGAAACATTAAAAAAATCAACCATGTTCTGCCATCCTTAATGTTATAACCTGTTTTCATTTTATTTCTCATACCCATATAGTCCTTATATTACATAAATCTGTAATGATTGCATACTATAATTTTATCATTATTAACCTAACATTATGTCAGATATATTTTCTATGAGATAGTCCTCATAATTGTAACTTCAATCAAGTTGATGTATTCCTGTTTGCCCAGTCATTCTACTAGCATTGGTTGTTGCCAATTTTATGGGAATTTTATGGCAAATTTTTTTGCCATTGTAGATCAAATTATAATAAGAACATTCATGCATACAGCTTCTTTCCTTTTGAATTTTTTCCTTAAGATGATGTTTCTCCAAGTTCTTTGGAAAGTTATCAAAAAAGGGTTCTGTTGCCATCTAAGTTTGTGAAAAGTTAGTGGGTCTTCTTAGAACTGTAAAGTGATTATAAACTTCCACTGAGATTCCAAAGAGACAGAGCATGCCCCTTGGACCACAGGACCTTTTGTTCTTAGAATAGAAGTACTTGGTGAACTTTGATGGGGGAATAACATACCTTTATTTTTACCAATGTTTAAGTAAATTTCCTTCAATTATGAATGTAGGTGACAAACCACAGCAATTTTTGTACAGTAACTGACTTTGTCACCAAAAGAAATCACAGTTTTTTTCATATCACAATACAGTTGTTACAGATACCTAAAAATACAATTTATTTGAGATGATATATTCAATCTGATACAATGGTTTTAGACTCACCTTAATATGATCTTGTTTTTTAATGCATTTACAAATAAGCATATATATTACTACATCACAATTTTTTAATTTTGGTAATTGTATCTTATAATTGTTCCCTCTGGAATCCTATCAATTTTATGTATTTAAAATATTTATTTTATAAAGGGGTCTATAGGTTTATCAGAATGCCGAAGAGATCCATAGCACAAAAAAAAATTTTAAAAACTATCTCAAGGCCTAGGGTTCTGCAAAATGTTTTGAGACATGTCACTTTAGAACAGACTCAAGGCTAAGATTAGTGAGTCAAAAGAATTAGCTCTATTACAGATCGGACATTAGGTAGACCAGATCTCTTTCCAAAAATCATAACAAATTTACACTACCATAGAAGTATAAGCATGTACTTGTCTTACCACAGCCATCCAGTATTGGGTATTTTCATTATCTTTCACTTGAATATATTATTAATAACTTGTTATCTCCTTGTGTTTCTCTGGCTTATTAGAATCAAGGCACTATAAGTCACCTCAGAAGGTATACAACCCCAATACTTCCCATCTAAGGTTATATGAACATACTCAATTATGTCCTTTTTGGGGGCCAGATCCATAAAATTTAGGAAAATAATCACAGCCCCAGTTCTTCCCAACAGTCACCAAGTCATCTGAGTGGCCACTAGAGACCTCTGAAGATCTCTTTCCATTACCTGGAACATGGTTCTCTTCTTGACGAGGATTAGGTGTCTGACGGCGTTTCAAGCGAGATTGGTCCTTTCCCAAATCCATCTTGTTGTAATACCTTCTGCTATTTGGTCTAACTTCCACAAGCAACCTTTTTAAAAATATCAAATAGTTAGACACACACAGGCACACAAGTTTACTTGTCACTTAACTTCCCGCCTAAAAGTTTTATCTAGTTGGACCACAGCTGTTGGGCACTTCTACTTTCTTTATCACACTGCACAGGTATGAGTGAGTAGGGGGTATGGTTGGTCCTACTATCCTCATCCTGTAGCATAGTTACTGGTTAGAGAGGGAACTCCATGGCCACAGCCTGGCATGGCGCAACCTCTGGTACAGCAGTCATTTATTTCTGTTGCCTGAAAAGTGCCTGAGTCTGATGGTCCTTTATGGAAGGACCTTTCTACACTATGGAAGTAACATAGTGTAGAAAGAACCCTAGGTCTCGGACCTAACCAGTCCATGTCCTAGAATAAGTTACCCCCCCCTTTCTGTGACTCTATGCAAGGTGAGTAAATAATTCCTGACACCCCATACAGTTCTTGCGAAAAAGTGAAAATAATGAATGTGAACATTATGAAGGGGTGAAATTAGACTTACATGCTTTTCCTGCAAATGGCATTCTTTCTACCTCAATCCTTTGCAAAATAATGTAAAGTCTTGCTGTAGATGCTGTGAAATTTAGATGATAGCGCCCAAGAATGAAATTAGGAAACTGAAGCAAATCTGAACTCTTTTCTGTTCACCTGATCATTCTCCAGTGACTCAAGGTAACTAGTGAAATCCACTGTTACTTGTCCAGGAAATGTCAAAAAGAATTTCTTGATGAAAATATGACCGTGTTATGCCACAGAAATTAAGTTGGAACCAAAGGAATTACTCCAACCCCGGTCGGTTACCCCATTTGAGAAGGCAAGGAGGCTTTTCAAGTAGGGAAGGACGACTGAACACACCCGGATGTGAGCAGCCCGTCTGAGAAATGCGGGATTAACAATATTCTAGAGTCACAGATTGTACTGAAGCGAGTTTGAACTCCAGTGTTGCTCAGGTCAGTTAAATAGCCTGGGGGCCAACTGACCTAGCTACACCCGGGGACAATATCGGTATCTATCTCATGGTATTATTGGGAAGATTAAATCAAATACTCTGTATAAAACATTTTCTATGTGCCCAGCATATTGAACTTGCTAACAAGTATTAGCTGCTTTTATTAATATTAAAAATATACTAACCAGATTTTGGTAAACCAAGTCATTGTTGTTGTTGTTTTTCAAAGACTTTATTTTTTATTTATTTATTTGAGAGAGAGAGAGAGAGTACAAGTGGAGTGAGAGTCAGAGGGAGAAGCAGACTCCCTGCTGAGCAGGAAGCCAGATACAGGACTCAATCCCAGGGCCCTGAGATCATGACCTGAGCCGAAGTCAGACACTTAACTGACTGAGCCACTCAGGTACCTCCCACGACATAGTTTTAAATGCACTAAAGACATGTAGGAAATCTGGAAAGAATCCTTTATAAAGAGAAAACTTTTAAAATGTGAATAGGTGCCCCCTGCTTTTCTAAACTCTTATGGCATTGGAAGTAGAAGGGCCCGCAAAACCATCTAGTTCCCTCCCCCATTTTATATATGGATAAACTAAGAGCCAAGGAGGGAATGATTTACCTGCCCCAAATTTTCTTATATATTGCCAACAGTACCTCTTACTGATTATAAGACAGCTTATCTTTTTCAGGCTTGATCTTGTCTGGGTATGAAAATGTATGAACAGGGCGCCTGGGTGGCTCAGCGGGTTAAGCTGCTGCCTTCGGCTCAGGTCATGATCTCAGGGTCCTGGGATCGAGTCCCACATCGGGCTCTCTGCTCAGCAGGGAGCCTGCTTCCCTCCCTCTCTCTGCCTGCTTCTCTGTCTACTTGTGATCTCTGTCAAATAAATAAATAAAATCTTTAAAAAAAAAAAAAAAAGAAAATGTATGAACAGATGAGAGAAGCAAGTTTTTCAAACACACTAGAAAATATTGAGAATCATATAACAAACACCCATATATACCCAGCACCCAGAATTAATGTGGTTTTCAGTCACCAGATCCTAATGCTTTAGCTTTACATTCCTAAATTTTCCAGTCTTTCTCATCAGAAAACATCTAAAAACTCATAACCTCAGAGACCGTCTCTACAAAGGAGTCCTGGAAGGAATGGAAGGTGTAATTTGCAATTTGCGTCTTGATCGTTTTTGGATTTTCAGATATAGGGCTTAAAGAAATCAAATACAAATTGAAGTAACTTTAAAAATTTTAAAGTAACATGTTGGTTAACTGAACATAATAAAAAAATAAAAAATTTTAAAGTAGTATAAAGTAAATGATAAAGTTTATCATTTACAACTGGCATCTTAAATATTGATCCCTTTATTTGAAATGCTTTAATTCTTACTAGTTGTTTCTTATGATAGCTCAGTTAAATAACCTTATCAGATATCTCTGGGGTACCTTACAGAAGATGCGGAAGTACTTCTTAATGAGAATGATCTTTACTCAGGGCTTATTATGTTCAGTTCAATGATTTGGTAAACCTTAGGGAATGCCACGTACTGTGCCAAAAGTTGACCAAGACTGTCAGGATGCAAAGACCGATGGATATAGTCCCTGAATTCTGGGCACCATATGCTCAAGAAAGTCATACACATCCTTATTGTAAGGAAATAATAGATTCTTTGGTCGGCTGCAGCCTTCCTAAGTTAATTCCACTCCTGCCTCATGTTCCCTGTATCTAGAAGCAGACTGCGGAGGGACTATGAGAGGGTGGGGTCTCAAGTTAACAGTAGTAGGGCCAATACAGGGCGGAGGGGGCCAGTGGAAGGACCTTGGAGTAAACTAGATTGGAAGTCAGGCAAGGTGTCTTTGATGTGATAAGCAGGCCAGAGCAGGAACTTGTCTGGGACAGAAGTAGCCACACAGGAAGTTCCGAAGCCATAGGTTCATTGTCCCTTCTCTCTGTAGAAAACTCTGGGGCCATTACCAGAATGTGAGATTATTAGCCATTGAAGGCTGGCTACTTTTTAAACAAATGCTGCCTGGTTCTAGAGTTATTTGCATATAAACACACATGAAACCTCTCTCCAAGCATCAGACTCTTGGGGGGGGGGGTTCGGTAGTTACCTCTCCTGACTCCCCTTTCCATCCCCACAGTATAGTCTAGTGAGAGGCAGTTGCAGAAGCACCCCCATAAATGCCCACACTCCTGTATGCAGGGCTTGCAGCCTGTGAAGGCACTTTATGCACTCAGAGGACCTGTGGTGGCTGTGACTTAATAATAGTAATCCCATCGTCTGTTCCAGAACTCTGCCTGGTGTCATTCACGGGCACCGTCCTATGTTCTGGAGATATGGCAGCTAAAAGACAAAAACCCCTGTCTGAATAGAGCCTACGGTCTAATGGGGAGAGATAAATACTAAGCAAATTTGTTAAAAATGTAAAATACCAGATGGTGATGAGTGTTTTGGAGAAAAATGAGCATGGAACAATAGGCTAAAGAATGAGGGGGGAGGTCGATGCCGGTTGCTGTGTAAACAGGATGGTCAGGGAAGGCTTGAGGGATAGTGACAGTTTTTTTGTTTTGTTTGGGTTTGTTTTTAAGATTTTATTTATTTATTTGACAGAGAGAGAGAGAGAGATCACAAGTAAGCAGAGAGGCAGACAGAGAAAGAAGTAGAAGCAGGATCCCCACTGAGCAGAGAACCCGATGCGGGGCTCGATCCCAGGATCCTGGGATCATGACCTGAGCTGAAGGCAGAGGATTAACCCACTGAGCCACTCAGGCGCCCCTGTTTTTCGTTTTTTTAATCTTTTTTAAAAAATTTATTTATTTGACGGGGCGCCTGTGTGGCTCAGTGGGTTAAGCCACTGCCTTCGGCTCAGGTCATGATCTTAGAGTCCTGGGATCGAGCCCCACATTGGGCTCTCTGCTCAGCAGGGAGCCTGCTTCCTCCTCTCTCTCTGCCTGCCTCTCTGCCTGCTTGTGATCTCTCTGTCAAATAAATAAATAAAAATCTTTAAAAAAATTTATTTATTTGATAGAGACAGTGAGAGAGAAAACACAAGCAGAGGGAGAGGGAGAAACGGCTTCCTGGCCAAGTAGGGAGCCCGATGTGGGACTTGATCTCAGGATGACCTGAGCCAAATGCAGATGCTTAACGACTAAGCCGCCCAGATGCCCCAATAGTGTGACAGTTGAGCAGAACTGAAAAGGTGAGGGGCCAGCCAGGCTGATAGCTGGGAGGGTATTATTTCAGGCAAAGGGACACAGGCAAATGGCCTGTGGTGGCAGGAAGTAGGTTCAGAGGAGTAAGTCTGTTGCTCTTTGTAGGGATTTCTACTCCGATTGAGATGGAGAGTCATTGGATGGTTTTGAAGAGAAGACTGATGTGATCTGACATATGTTTAAAGGATTCTTCTGACTACTGTGTGGAGAACAGACTCTTATCGACAGGGGAGGAGGCAGAAGCAGGGAGACCAGTTAGAAGGGTCTTGTAATAATCCGAGTGAGCTATGATTAAGCCTTGATTTGTGATGGGAGTGGTGAAGAGGTCAGATTCTGGAGCAGCTTCCAAATCGGATATGGAGTGAGAGAGAGCCAAAGACAAAGACAAGGGTTTTGGTCAGAGCACCTGGAATGATGGAGTTACTGTTAATACATGAGGAAGGCTGGGAGGAGCAGGATTGCCAGAGATGATGAGGAGTTTAGTTTGGTAACATGCGAACAGATTAGGGAGAAAACAGCAAAGGAACAGCCAGCGAAACAGAGGAAAACCAGAAAAGTATAGTGTCCCAGAAGTCACTTGGAAAAGATGTTTCAAGGAGGAGGGAGTGGGGGGCGCCTGGGTGGCTCAGTGGGTTAAGCCACTGTGTTCGGCTCAGGTCATGTTCTCAGGGTCCTAGGATGTTCTCAGGGTCCTAGGATCAAGCCCCACGTCAGGCTCTCTGCTCAGCAGGGAGCCTGCTTCCCCCCGCCTCTCTGCCTGCCTCTCTGCCTACTTGTGTTCTCTCTCTCTCTCTGTCAAATAAATTTTTTTAAAAATCTTTTAAAAAAATTTTTTAAAGAAAGAGGAGGAGGGAGTGATCAATTGTGTCAAATTTAGCTAATAGGTAGAGTAGAAGAAGGATTGAGGGTTGTCTATTTCCTAACAATTCAATTCATTATAGACTGGAGCCCAGAGGGGCCGTGTAGGCAGGATGAAGTTACATGATTTGCATTTCCCAGTGCACAACAAAGAGGCATTGCTCCTCCTACAAAAATTAAGAATTTCCAGTCGAGGGGCGCCTGGGTGGCTCAGTGGGTTAAGCCACTGCCTTCGGCTCAGGTCATGATCTCAGCGTCCTGGGATCAAGCCCCACACCGGGCTCTCTGCTCAGCAGAGAGCCTGCTTCCCTCTCTCTCTCTCTGCCTGCCTCTCTGTCTACTTGTGATCTCTCTCTGTCAAATAAATAAATAAAATCTTTAAAAGAAAAAAAAAAGAATTTCTAGTCGAGGGGCTCCAGGGTGGCTCAGTCAGTTAAGTATCTGACTTTGGCTCAGGTCATGATCTGAGGGTCCTGGGATTAAGCCCCATGTCAGGCTCCAGGCTCAGGGGGGAGTCTGCTTGTCCCTTTGCCCCTCCCCCTGCTCATGCACACACACACACACACACACACACACACACACACACTCTCTCTCTCTCTCTCTTTTTCCTCTCTCTCTCAAAAAATAAAAATAAAATCTTAAAAAAAAAAATGAAAAAGAATTTCAAGCCAACCACAGCAGAAAATTAAACCCAGCACAGGGCCTTCCCTACTTTCACAAGTGTTTCACAGGATCCTTGCAGTAGACATAAAATAATTATGGTCATTTTTCAGATTTTTCAGACCAATGTATGGTCATTTTTATACTGGTGCTAAGTATTGAGTGATTTCAGGTCACAGAGCTAGAGTAAATCTGGAACCTGGGCCTTCAGCCTCTGAGCTCGGTCTTCTTCCTACAAGACCAAACCAGTTATTGAGGGAGAGAATGGCTTTTCCACCTCCTGACCCATTTGGAGCAAGTTTAAATATTGAGGCCCTGTTCATGCTTTTCAGAAGGCTGATTGAACCGTGCAGGTGTGGGGAGAAAGGAAACATGGCTAAGAACTTCTGCCCCAGGGGTCTTATGATGGGGGTGAGAAGAGAGGAGGGCACATGAGGTACTATTCCGTCAAAAACATGGTCTGAGCTTTTCTGCTCATGGGTGCCGCCAAGTGCACATCATTAAAGTTCCACTCCCACCACCATCAGGTCTAAGTCAGAGTCTCCCAAGGAGCCTGAAGAGCTGTGGAAGCTCTTCATCGGAGGTCTGGGCTTTGAAACAACAGATGAGAGTCTGAGGAGCCATATTGAGCAATGGAGAACACTTAAAGACTGTGTGGTAATGAGAGATCCAAACACCAAGTGCTCCAGAGGCTTTGGCTTTGTCACGTAGGCACCTGTGGAGGAGGTGGGGGCTGCCATGAACACAAGGCCACACAAGATGGATGGAAGAGTTGTGGAACCAAAGAGGGCTGTCTCAAGAGAAGATTCTCAAAGACCTGGTGCTCACTTAACTGTGAAAAAGACTTCTGTTGGTGACATTAAAGAAGACACTGAAGCATATCATCTAAGAGATTATTTTGAAAGGTATGGAAAAATCGAAGTGATTGAGATCATGACTGACCGAGGCAGTGGCAAAAAGAGGGGTCTTGCTTTTGTAACGTTTGACGGCCATAACTGTAGATAAGACTGTCATTCAAAAATCCCATACTGTGAATGGCCACAACTGTGAAGTAAGGAAAGCCCTATCTCAGCAAGAAATGGCTAGTGCTTCATCCAGCCGAAGAGGTCGAAGTGATTCTGGAAACTTCGGTGGTGGTTGTGGAGGTGGTTTTGGTGGGAATGACCACTTTGGTCATGGAGGGAACTTCAGTGGTTGAGGTGGCTCTGGTGGCAGTAGAGATGGCGGTGGATATGGTGCCAGTGGGGATGGCTATAAGGGATGCAACTTTGGAGGTGGCGGAAGCTATAATGATTTTGGCAATTAGAACAATCAATCCTCAAATTTTGGACCCATGAAAGGAGGAAATTTTGGAGGCAGAAGCTCTGGCCCCTATGGTGGTGCAGGCCAGTCCTTTGCCAAACCAGGAAACCAAGGTGGCTATGGTGGTTCCAGTAGGAGCAGTAGCTATGGCAGTGGCAGAAGGTTTTAATTACTGCCAGGAAACAAAGCTTAGCAGGACAGAAGAGCCAGAGAAGTGACAGGGAAGCTACAGGTTACAACAGATTTGTGAACTCAGCCAAGCACAGTGGTGGCAAGGCCTATCTGCTACAAAGAAGACATGTTTTAGACAATACCCCTGTGTATGGGCAAAAAACTCTAGGACTGCATTCAAGACTATTTGTATAACAGGTTATTTTAGTTTCTGTTCTGTGGAAAGTGCAAAGCATTCCAACAAAGGGTTTTAATGTAGATTTTTTTTTTTGCACCCATGCTGTTGATTGCTAAATGTAATAGTCTGATCCTGACGCTGAATAAATGTGTCTTTAAAAAAAAAAAAAAATGATCTGGTACAAGTGCTCCAAAGCTAATGTGGTTATGTGTTTTCAGGCTATACTGATAATTATAGAGCCCCCACACCAGGGGAGATCAGAGTCCTGCTACACTGTGGTTTGTCATGCCATATCCAGAGCATCATACTGTGAGGACCATGGGAGTGATATTTGAGAATGTTCGGGAAAAAGAGCAAAGGGTATGTAGCAGTACCACTCCCCAGCGGTGTAATCTGGGGGGAAATTGCTGCGTTCTTGCTAATCCTCGGCTTCTTCCCTTGTAAAACAGGAAAAGTAAAACTTCACCTGGATTCTGTGGTGGACAAAACCAATCTTGAGGGCTTTTTGTAGAATGAAAAGCACTGTGCGGATAGGAGTGTCCTAAACATGGGCAGTGTTCGTGGTATTGTTGGAGTGGTCTCCTGATGCACCTAGGCATTCTCCTAGAGTGCATTTGCGCACACAAGTCAAGAAAGGGAAGATATCATGCACTTACTTTTCTTAGTGTTCCTTCCTTGCTAAGATACTTTTCCAAAGCTTTTGAATTCTTTTCAAAGAGTGGATCAAACTTTGTTTTCCTAAGTGGAGAGGGAGAGTTTCTGGTTTCCCTCTCTCATGGTCTGTGGATACGTGATAAATGAGTTCTGTCTCTGCTTAACCAGATGCTGCAGGACTCTTAGTGATAACATGGTCTACAGTTCTAGAACGGCAGCAACCTGCCTTTCAATCTAGTTTGTGGCAAAGGTTGTCCTCTGGCCTCCTCCACCAATGTTTCTTTCTACTTCTTACTGTATAGACAATAAGCACCTCCTGATGAAACGTGAGTGGTCATTTGTCTGGGGAAGATCAATTCTGCTCCCACCTTAGCCGCCATCACATCTTTCTTTCCCCAATTTCTTGAACTCCTACCATACTCAGTTGACCTTCTTTTCCCCACAACCCTTCTTCCTTCCTTCACACCTGCAGTCTAGTTTTTCTTTCCACATTTCGTTCTCTCATCAGTGATGCCTAGCGGCCAAGTCCCGTGGCCCCTCTGCAGTTCTACCTCTGAGAGGGAGAGACTTGCTCACAACCCCTCCCAGCACTTCCACCCTCCTTGAAACCTGCTCTGGCTCTTGGCATCTGTGAGGATATATTTTTCACCTCTCTCCCTCTTCCTCATCCTTCCTCACAGGCTTCTCTTTCACTCCCCGCAATGTGGGAGGTATTTCCCAAGGATGATTCCCTGATCTTTTCTCTGTATACTTCCACCCTTCTTAGGTGGTTGATCCAACTGTAGACCTTCAGCTATTACCTCTGTGCATATATCTTCTAAATAAATATCAGTCTGAGTTCTAAGCTCAAGTTTTTAAGCGTCTCTTGTATGTCATTCATTACAGAATATCCCACTGCACCTCCAACTTAGCATAACAAAAACCAAATCTACCTGCCCCCTCAGGCCACTTTCCTCTTTGGTTTCTTTCTGTCAGAACAATAGCACCATGCTCCTGGTCATCTAGTTGTAAATCTTCACAACTGTCTTCCCCTCTGCCTCCTCACTCCTTCTCACATCCAGGGGGACACAGTTCCATGAGTTTCTTCTTCCCAGTGTCCCACATGTTCATTCCCACTTATCCTTCCCCATGCCACCATCCCAGAGAGGGACCTCACTTTCTCACTCAAGTACTGGAAAAGCTTCCTAGGTGGATTATCTGTTTCCATTTTCCCTCACTATCCCCAGACTGTCCTGCAGAAACAGCCAGAACATTCCCCTTATGGCTCACTCTGAACCGGTCACTACCTTGTATACAATACTGTCAAGTCTCAGTAATACTTTCAGGATAACGACTTAATTTCTCATCCTGGCCCTTAAAGCCAACTTCCTGATCTTCCTTCCCATTCCTTTCCCGAAAATACCCAATATTCTAATTAAACAGTGCCATTGGTCCTCTCTGTTTGCCCTTGGTTCTTTCTAACACCCACAGTACCTTTATTCACACCTCCTGGCTGTTCAGTGTTCTTTCCTTGTGTCTGCCCATCCAGGTAGTGAGCGCCTCCATCACAAAGCCTTTGATGACGGTGATCATGATGGCGATGAAGAGGAGGAAGAGATGTTAGCCACTTTACAAACACATAATAGGTACCTAATGTTTTATATACATTATCTCATTCAGTCTGTCCAGCTAATATTATCTCTGTTTCACTGATAAGGACATTAGTGGTTTAAAGAGATTAGGTTATATCCCAAGATCATCTAAGCGCATTAGTGCTAGACTTAGGGCTTAAAACCAAGGCAGTCTGTCTTTAAAGTTCAGATTAACCATTCTGTTCTACTACCTCTTTGTACCTAGAAGTGATCTCTCTTTCCAAACTGTAATCACACTTAAGATGAGCTTCTTGTATGGTAAATACCACATAATAGTTTAAATTTTATTGTTCACATGTATACATCTTTTCTACAATATTCATTTGGCAAAAACGTAACAAACATTTACTGCCAGGCTCTTCACGGAGAATTGGTGACATGGAGAAGAATCAAACAAGAGTCCTTTTCCCCAAGAAACTCAGTCTGATTGAGGGTGAGAGATAACAAGCAAATCTGAATTAGAATATAACACAGTGTGGTCATTTTAATATCGATATTTCCAAATGCTCTGAGAGTAGATATGGAGTACTAGTTCTATTGCCATAGAAGCGGAAAGAAAAGGATATTACACTGTGCACCACGGCTATAATTCTTATTTGTAACTGCCATGGAATGAATCTGCATTGGTCAACAAGCAGATTTGGGAAAATGAAGAGGTTTTATATGTATGTAATAGTGTCATGGGTTTTTTTTTTTCCACTTTATACTAGTGGGTTTTTCCCCCTTTTAGTCATTTCACACACAAAAATAATAATAATAATAATAACCAATGTTTATTGAGCACCTGCTTACCATATACCAGGCACTATTCTAAGCACTTTATATAGAATTCATTTGGTCTCTGCAACTTCCTTTAAGGTAAGTAAGTATTGATATCCTTGTTTTACAGATGAAGAAACAAGAAGAGGCATGACCCTGCATCATAAATCACCCCCTTAGTAAATGGCCCAGCTGGGTGGTTTGGATCTAGAGATTTATTTTTTTTAAAGATTTTATTTATTTATTTGTCAGAGAGAGAGTGAGCGCACAAGCAGGGGAAGTGGCAGAGGGAGAGGGAGAAGCAGACTCCCCACTGAGCAGGGAGCCCGATGTGGGACTCGATCCCAGGACCCTGAGACCGTGACCTGAGCTGAAAGCAGATGCTTAACCGATTGAGCCACCCAGGTGTCCCAGCTGGATCTAGAAGACCATACGTTTAATTACCTTGTTCTCTTACCTCTCAAGTCTACTTCTTTCTTATTGAATAAAATAAGATAGCAATATATTTTCTTTTCCAATCCCCTCCCTCTCTTGGCTTCTCCTTTTCCCTCTCCCTTATACTTCTCCTCTTTTCAAAGAGTCAACATTTGTTGACTCTTTATTCTGCCCAAAACAATGCAGGGTGTTGGGGATACAAAGGCAAATTAACAAAACACCAGCATACATAGAACAGTAAGAAAACATGGATGAGGGACACTAGCCAAGGTGGAAAGAGAAGGACTTCTTTGAATAGATGATCTTGAGCTTAGTTTTGAAGGGTGAATAGGAACTAACTATCGCAACACAGCAAGGCTAAGAGCAAAAAACACAGGCTCTGGAGTCTGATCTAAGGTTATTCGCATCAGGTTGTGTACAACCTAGGGAAAGTTACTTAAAACCTCCCACCCTTGATCCCCTTGTATATGGAATGGGTATCATAACACCTACCTCTCATGACTATTATGGAAATTTAAAATGAAAAATTATGGAAAACATTCAGCTCACAGATGACCTTAATATGCTGGCTGTTATTATGATTGCTCATAATCTAATAGAACCACTAAAAAGTAAAGCTGAGCAAGGCGTTAGAGTTATTTTCAAGGTAAGAAAGTGGAGATCCAGAGTGAGGCCAGTGTCACATAGGCTTAGTGGCAGTTAGAACTGGAACCTGGATCCTTTAAGAGTTCTACCATTTTCCCTTTACTTGTCTGGTGTTCTGAACTCTCCTGTCTACAAGTCAATCTATTTCATTCCCTTGTTTAATGTGTATTTCCCAAACTTTCCAATTGTTTACATTGTGACTTTTGCCAGATTCTTTTAATAACATCTCCTATATTATTATTTGCTTAATATTTTTTCTTCAGATAAACTTATTTTTAATGAAAGCATTTCAAACATTTTTTTTTTTAAGTAGGCTCCAGGCCCCATGTGGAGCCCAAGGTGAGCCTTAAACTCACCACCCTGAGATCAAGACCTGAGTTGAGATCGAGTGTTGGATCTTTACTAAAAGTGTTTCAAACAGAAATTTTATATCACCATTGTACACAGAAAACCAGTCACAGGTTTGTGCTGTAATAAATTCTATTTCATCCAAGGCACATTAAAGTAAATACCAAGCTATTAAAATAAAAAACATTTCATCTAATTATCTGCACTTCCCCAAGTGGAATGCATACCACATCTGGGAAATGCTGGCCTATATAATTAATCAATGAACTTCTCATTTTACAGAAGTTCTAGACCATGTCCAAATCCATCTGAAAACCAAACTGCCCTTTGCGGTGGCTGGTTTATGACTCAGAAGGAACAGAGCAAAAGACTCACCTCACTCCCTGGCCTGCTACTGACTCACTATTATTTATATCAGCAACTCTCATTAACATCTTTAGTTGAACACTAGCCTCTCCTATTTTTGCTATTTCTTCATCCCCTGGAGTTTTAGCAATTCTGGCAACGAACATACTCTAGAAACTAACATAATGGGGCGCATGGGTGGCTCAGTGGGTTAAGCCTCTGCCTTCGGTTCTGGTCATGATCTCAGGGTCCTAGAATCAAGCCCCACATCTGGCTCTCTGCTCAGCGGGGAGCCTGCTTCCCTCTCTCTCTCTGCCTGCCTCTCTGCCTACTTGTGATCTCTCTTTCTGCCAAATAAATAAATAAAATCTTAAAAAAAAAGAAAGAAAGAAAGAAACTAACATGATGCTTTAGTTCCGTTTATTTGGAAGTTTCAAATCCCTGCTTCCAGCAGATTCTATCCCCCCGACTTGGAATTTATAGTTAAAGAAACCTAGATCAGTCCCTGCCCCAAAAGGGACCCCTGCTGAGGAACTGCAACCTTCTGAATGGTTCCGCACGCCAGGCCGCTGCTGCCCACCCCCACTCAGAGGGCCCTGCGCAGGTGTGTTTTCAGTAAATAGTCATCACCTGAACCAATTGGGGTAGAGGGGCTCTGGCTCGAACTGCTGCCACTAGGTGGACATCTATGGCAATTGCACCATTCTCACCTGCCAATGAAGTCAGAGCTTTGGCTCCAGCACTTTCTTTCGGAGGCAGCCAACCTTCCTCCCTCATTTACTGACACTCTCTGTTTCTCCTCCCCGCAAGCCCTCCTCTGGTGAGTTAGCACTGGGGATGTCTGCATACCAAACACTTAGCTAATTGATAGTCTGTCACAATCTGCTCAACAAATGGTAGGCTTTTTTGTTTTGTGTGTGCCCCCTGTGTGTGTGTGTGTGTGTGTGTGTGTGTGTGTGTTTAGTGACATGTTGGTTGTATTTTTAGCCAGGTTGGGAAAGGAAGAGAAGGAGTTACTCTGGCAGACAGAAAATGTCTTGCCAGGGTCTTTCTTGCCTGGCGTTCTCTTAAGTGGCTGTGAGCGCCTTTAACAGATGGAGTTCAGTTATATGCTCCAATCTGATTTTATCAGCACATATCCTGGGCAAGTTCAACTCGAGGATGAAGACTTCCTTTGTGCTTCTGTATGTGTTGTCTTGTCACCCTTTCTTGTTAGCACTCTCTCCTCATTTTAAGGAAACCAGCCTTGGTCAGCCATGAGAGATGCCGGTGTGGGAGTCACATAACAATGTCTGACACTCCACGGGGATAGAAGATGGTGGCAGTCCTGGCCCAGCCTTTGTAGTGAACCTTCCAACCTCCCCCATCAACAAGAAGCACATTTTATTCTTAAAGTAAGTGGCAGAATGTTCTTGGTAATCAAGAGAGACACTAAAACAACCCAGACAGAAGAGCCATCCTCTAAGACCGCCAGCAACACCCAGAATGGCCCATAATTCTTCTATCTGAAATAGGAGGTCATGTGTTACTATTGATATAGCCTTTATCATTAAAGTTGGACGTTGCACTTCACCTCTCAGGAAACATTAACTCAAAGGAACCACTACCACCCTGAACAGCATGTGGTACAGCGGGTAGAGCCTGGACTCTTGGATCAGAAGATAAATAGGGTATCTATTTGCACAGAACTGCTATTAGCTGCTGTTTTTACCCAGTCCAGATGGGTGTATAATACTTCTTTCTCATACAGGGAGACTGGGGAGAACCTTGTCCAGACAGAACATAAATAACTTCTTTGGTCCATCCCATGAAGGCAGACTTTACTTTCTAGAAAACCACACACCTACTCTGACTTATGGAAACCTCTATTCCCATATCCCACTACCAAATATGACACCAAAATGGATTTAGTCATCTCTCTGAGAGGAAAGAATAGAGTGGAACTGTACTAATCCAGTCAGTTTAATTCCCCTTTAATGGGAACTAAATTAAGATCTCAATAATACATGATGACAGTTCTGCTTTCTAGTCTTATATAGAAACTACGCCTCTAGCTCTAAATCCTAGTTATCTCTGACAGAGGAAGTGAAGCATTGATCAAGTAATAGAGTTGTTATGTTGTAGGGAGTAAAAGGAGTGGAAAGAAGAGATTGATGGCCAGGGGGGTGGAATAAATAAGTACCAGGGTGAGACTTCTGGGTAAGTCAGACAGGGATGCCAGGCTGGGAGGGCGAGCTATTTATTCTGGGATTTACGAGGGAGCTCAGTGTTGTGCTTAATGAAGTTACATGAACCTGGGACACAGTAAACACTAAATTTCACAGAATCTCATAGCTGGAAGAAATCT